CATTTTTCGTCGATTGGCGCTTATTTGCTTACTCTTTTTTTGGCTTAGTCATTGTAACAGCGAATTTGGGTCACTTTAACCGTTTCAGCTGAGTGTTAACTCGTTCCAATAAAATCGCTTAATTAATTCAAATTTGTTTTATACTGTTCTGATTATCCTAAATTAAAAAAAAGGGTTTGCGTTCCGCCTTGACTAATTGCTTAAATTTTTAGAAAATAGTTAAAATTGCCTTTTTCGGATTGTTTTTTTTTTCCATATCTACATACATATGTATATGTAGAACATATCTAAAATGATGTACATCACTGTTACTACGCACCAAAAACACTGCAAATGCTACTATAAAGATAAGCTGTCGCTTGCAGTGATGGTGAAATGGAATTGTTGTTTTTAACGTGATTCACCTACCGCTGCAAGAATTTACTGGAGAGGGAGCGAAACATGTGCTGCCACACCTCTCGTCTCATCCCCCCTCGCGCTGTCTCCTTGGCTCGCCATTGGGGCATGAAAACGAACGTAAGCGTATGTACATGTACATGTTGCGCGGATGTGTGACTGCACTTGTTATATCCGCCGGATGGTAATTGTGTTTGTGATTATGATACGCGGTCACGTTGAAAATGCACCGTTTTATGTGTTACAATTGAACATAAGAAAAACGGCTATGACGATTTTGATAGAAAATGTATTTCAGTAAAGAACTACAAACTTTATTAATCAGAATCCCAGACTAGCAGAGTTTTATTAAGAATTTCCCAATACTAATTTTTTCTTAACTATGATCTTTAAATGTTTAGTTTATAAATTTAACTGAATTTATAATTACTACCAAATCAGTTTTTATTTAGTAGAAAACAAGCACAATTTTTTTTACACTCGAGTTAAGTTAAATTCTGTTTGTAGCGTACAAAATAAATGTACAGATAAACGAAGCACTACCCGTTTTGGTTTCTTTTACTGATGTGTATCAAACATTAAATATGGCACGGAAATAAATATGTATTTACATATATACATATGTATGTACGTATAATAAATAAATGTCCCCATTTATATGTATATTGTTGTATGTACATATGTTTGCGTTTGCATATTTTATTGTAGTTTATGATTCCTCTTGTCAGACACGTAGCTCACATTTCGAAACCCTTCCACAAAATAATAATCTCGACTGTAAAATGAATCGAGTTTCAGTGAAATTTGAGTGCTGCAAAATTTGTGGGCGGAAAGGGGGCGTTAAATAGGGGAACTATTCAATACGAATCGTGGGAAAATGTCTTCGTAGTCATTTCGAGACAGTTTCAAATTTTCTATGCTAGATAACGCAAAAAACGTGGATAAACGAATAGGCACACTGAGTTTCCAATCGGCTTTTAATCCCATTATAAAAAAATAAAATGAATATATATCACGTGGGTACAGTCAAGACTCGGATATTATAACCCATAAACTTATATTTACATCATTTCCAAAAAAAACGTTGCAAATCAATGAGTTAAAACTAATATACCACACATTTTGAGAGCATTTACTGAAGCAAGCAGCCGTCTCGAAAAATCATAGATTTTTATAATCATAAGAAGAAATACAAAAATCCACCCAATATGGCGCCCGTCAATTGCGAATTGCGAATTGACAATTGTGAATTGTCGCTTAACCTTGAACCTGAATTTTGCAGTTCACTTTATTTTGTTTCTGTTTGCCGTGTGCTCACTGTTTTTGTGTCGTTGGTTATTATTATTAGTATAATGCCTTTTGTTTTATCTACCTCTCCTTTCCCCCTCTTCCTCCCTTTTCACACATTGCACTCTGTTGTTCTCGTTTTCATTTTCGTTTTGGGTTAATGAACTGAAATTTTACCACTTTTTGTTTGTTTTTTCGTATATCTAGGGATACATTTTGCGTAAATTTAAATTTTTCATTTCTCTCGGTTTATTTTCGCGAGTGTGCTTGAATCTTTGTGCATACATATGTATGCATTTGTGTTTGTGTTTAAATTTGATTTCGAATAAATATTTTGGTACATTTTTCGCATTCCCTGCTGTCTGCTACTTTTCTTTCTTTATTGAAATTCAAGCAATGAGCGGCATTTGCATCTATTGTGCATTGGTTTTCGCTTTTATTGCTTCCTATTTTTGACCCTCTTTGTTGTTGTGTCGCCTCTGTTGCCGAGCTGTTAAAAATAGTCGACGTGAGAGAGAGCATAAGCTAGAAAAAGAGCGCAAAGAGCGCGAGATAGCGATAACTGTCAAAAAAAGCAAAACAAACTGTCAAATGTCTACGTCATGTGAGTGCGCACACACACGCACGCACGCGCGCACGCATCAATTGTGTTTGTGCAAGTGACGTTTCAATTCGTTTTTGTTTTGTTTTGTTTCGTTACGTTTGCTGATTACTATTTACAGTAAATAACGGCTTGCAGCAACGCGAAATAATTCAATATCTTGATCCTTTGCAAAAAAAATATTTAACCAAATTAAAAAATGGCCAGTAAAAACCACTTATGTACATGTATCTAACGGTTAACAGGTACGCCAAATCCCGTGATCCCTTTTCATAAGGTGCATTCAGGCCAAACGGTTAATATCGAAAAATGTTCGCTACATATTTGTGAAACTAAACAGAAAACAATAGTTTAGTTGGAGAAATGAGGTCTAAATTGAACCGGAAACAACGGCTTACGTTTGTGTATATTAACACTAGTTACAAGTTTTTAGCCAATTTGACATAATATAAACATGTCAACAGTAATTATTGTTTAAGTGATAAAAAATAACAAAGAACGAACAAAATTTCGTTGTTTGTTTTCATGCGCTATTTAATGAATTTAATGAGAGTAAAAAGAAAATGTTGTTTTGAAGTATGTATGAACATACATACATACATATGTTGTTTTGTTGTTTGTAAATGATTCACAATATATAAAAGGGGTCGTGACTCTCCCAATAAAGAAACAAGAATTGGAGCAAACTTTAACTGGATAATCCCAAGCATCTATTAATTCACTAAATTCACTGCACTTGTTCTACCAACATCTTTTTTCAAATGTTTAATTTTAGAACATAATTGGATAATTGGATAATGTAAACCAAAGTACATTAGTAATAAATAACTCTCTGATGTTTATTGATTCACTGCTTAAGAATTACAATAATGTTTTAATGGGAGTTTCACTGTAGATTATATTCCACAGAAAATTGGGTCGCCAGAGTTATGTGGAAATAGATTTTTATATTTGTGAAATACAAACATACAAGTGTACATATGTGCATACATACAATTTGTACATATTTCCGCTCTCATCAACGCTTTCTATTGTAATTTATGGCAATTTGCTGCTAATTTACAATAACAATTTTCATTTGCACTTTGCTCCGAAAATAGCGCAGTGTTGCATTTGCTAGCCAGCAAATTCGATGATGGTGCATAACTATTGTTGTTGTTTGATTTTCTTGTTGCTTCTATACATTTCGTCACCGCTGTTGTTGTTTTTCTTTTAATTTATTTTGCTGTAGCGACGTTGCGCTCAATTGACAGATTGTTCCACTTTTCCGAGCGCGTCCTTGACCCAGAAATAATGGACATACATACATACTTACTTATTAATGTACACCAAACACCTTTTTTTTGTTCCTTTTTGTTACCCTCCTCCGCCCATCCTTTATTTTAGCCTACTAAAATCTATGTTAAGGTCAGCGTACTTCGGCGTTCCTAAACGAATGTCTGCTTACCCACTGTTAAGTGCCACTTTTGTTAACAGGGCCAGGCGACAAAAGTGTCCTCGGCTAAAATTTGATATAGTCGCATTTTCATGACAAGGAGGTCCTTTTAGTCTAGAAATAATTTTATTTTGATATATTATTTACATATTTATATATATTTTTATTCTCAAAATTTCAATAAACGGATAAAAAAATGTATATAAAAATGGCCTTATTTTTTGTCTTGAAAAAATGTCTAAAATTTAGGCTAATAGGCAAGAATGCCCTCTTAACAAGATCCTGACTCAAAATAACATTTAAAACAAGCTTACCTAAATCCAAAAATGAACACGGTTCTAAATGTATAATTTCAAAGGATGGACAGAGTTTTTTTTTATGAAAATCGTGGCTATTAGAAAACAATTCCTTCGCTAAATCACTCAATATCAAGCTGACAGGGAATAATTATTTTTTCTGTTAACAGGGGAACCTTTTCATTTTACTTTAAGCCGAGTCAAACCATTTTTGAGAGGCAACCGAGTAGACTTGAAAATAAATCTTCTTTTTAATAAAAATTTAGTAGTGGCCATTCAGAGTTACATCTCCACTGGTACGACAGCGATATTGACTGCGTATTGCTGGAGTTTTTCCGGGGCGAGTGAAGTGGTCGATGGATGATTGGATTAATTTGGATATAGGGGTTTTATTTCAGTGAAATCATCATTAGCCCGCAAACGGAGGCAAGTAGTCTAATGTATTCGGAATTATGGATTCCATTTGCAGCTGACACATTAAATTTTTTCCTTTTTCCCAATTTCCGTCATTTCCACTTACCAATTATCTATTTCGATTCTACTTTCAGACTGCTACAAAGGAACAACATAACAAACAAATCCGCAAATACAAAACAAGGAGAAAAGAACGGAAGACTAGAAATAATCATAACACAGAGTAGTTAGCATAAGGAAACATACAACAACAACACTGCAAACACTAATATTCTAATTAAAATTCACACAGATCGAAGTATTTTTGGCCTTAAGAGTAAGCATACAAACAAACACCCACACAAACACAGAACAAAGCGAAGAATTTGTAAAAGAACACCAAGCAAAAAATCACATTTAGCCTTATATACAACAACAAAACAAGTTAGTACTAAGTTTATATGGTAAAAGCAAGAGAAGACGAAGAAAGGAACCTAGCGATGGGGAGTTTGTAAGTAGGCTTAAATACTAAAGACCATATATGTATACATCGTAGATAGTAGACGGCCTGGGCTATAACTAATCTAAAAAAAAAACCATACACACAGCGGCAGAAAGGACGAAGAAGACGTTGAGAGGGCTCCTTTCTCAGAAGAAGTAAACAACGAATCTTCTGCAGAAAGAGCTGTAGACTCTGTTCAAGAATCAGTTGCAGAACAAACACCTGAATTATCTGGCAAAGAACCGGAAAAGGAGAAGCATTTCCCAATTCCTGAAGGATTAGCACCAGCACCTGAAGATTCGGCTGCTTTCTTAGAAGACGTAAACAACGAATCTTCTGCAGGAAAAGAAGAATCAGGCGCAGATTCACCTCCTTCTTCGGCTCCTTTCTTAGAAGAAGGAAACAACGAATCTTCTGCTGAAAAAACCGTAGAATCTGTTAAAGAATCAGTCGCAGATCCACCTCTCAATTCTCAAGTACAAACACCTGAATTATCTGGCGAAGAACCAGAAAAGGAGAATCATTCCCCAAATCCTGAAGGATCAGCACCAGCACCTGAAGATTCGGCTTCTTTCCTAGAAGAAGTAAACAACCAATCTTCTGCAGGAAGAGAAGAATCGGGCGCAGATTCACCTCTTTCTTCGACTCCTTTCTTAGAAGAAGGAAACAACGAATCTTCTGCTGAAAAAACCGTAGAATCTGTTAAAGAATCAGTCGCAGATCCACCTCTCAATTCTCAAGTACAAACACCTGAATTATCTGGCGAAGAACCAGAAAAGGAGAATCATTCCCCAAATCCTGAAGGATCAGCACCAGCACCTGAAGATTCGGACAGTGAAATCAAGTCTCCAGAATCCAAAGAAGAGGAAGAGAATGATAATAAGGAAGACGATGACATTCGCACAGGATCGTTATTGCAGGGATCTATAGCTGAACAATCAACATCTCTAGCTGTACAATCATCTGAAGATTCAAACTGTGAAACCGAAAATTCACAGAACAAGGAGAAGGATAAAATCCAAGAGTTCTTGTCGGAAATTGACGAAGAAAGTGGATCGGAAGCTGAACCATCAACATCAACATCAACATCCAAAGATTTAGACCGTGCATCCTTATATTCAGATTCCGAAAAACAAAGTGACGGAGAATCTGACCAATCAGCTGAAGATTCAAACCGCGATTTGAACGAAGAAGAGCGAGGCCCCAGGAAGTCTAAAAAAAAGGAGTATACTATAACACCGCGCCCATGGCAAGGAGTCGAATCGCAAAGTGACTCAGAATCTGAACAATCAGCTGAAGATTCAAACCGTGATTTAAACGAAGAAGAGCGAGGCCCCAGGAAGTCTAAAAAAAAGGAGTATACTATAACACCACGCCCATGGCAAGGAGTCGAATCGCAAAGTGACTCAGAATCTGAACAATCAGCTGAAAATTCAAACCGTGATTTGAACGAAGAAGGGCGAGGCCCCAGGAAGTCTAAAAAAAAGGAGTATACTATAACACCACGCCCATGGCAAGGAGTCGAATCGCAAAGTGACTCAGAATCTGAACAATCAGCTGAAGATTCAAACCGGGATTGGAACCAAGAAGAGCGAGCGCTCAGGAATTGGCCCACCAATCAAGCTAGTGACTCAGAATCTGATCATTCAACATATGGATACCCACACTTAACCAATCGGCAAGTAATTGAAATCAGGGAATATATCGCATCGGGCCGCTTTGAAGAATCACATGAATTTGAATCTGATAGTGAAGCTTCTACTGTCAAATTCGAGCCACCATCAGACAACGAGGAAGAGGAACCAAACCCTGATGTTTCAGTAGATCTTTTAGACAGACAGCACTCAGAAAATTTAAATTTTTTCTCAGAATCCGAAGAAGAGGAGCCTGCTCAAGTAGACGATAATTATAAATCCCCAAAAGCGCCTTTAGAATCTAGGAAAGTTGTGGAATCAGAAGAAGATACTGCGGACGAAGATTCAGAGGAGGAAAGACAGCCTTGTTTTTCAGAAGCTGAAGAAGAGGAGCATGATCAACTAGACGATAATTATTATAATTCCCTAGAACCACCTTTAGAAACTGAGCGAGTTGTGGAATCAGAACAAGATACCGAGGACGAAGATTCTGAGGAAGAAGAACAGGAGCCTTTTTCTCCAGAAGATCGTCACACAGATACCGATACCGATACTGACTCGGATTCCGATCCAGACGATAAACGCGAACCTTCTAGCTCTGAGGAAAGCAACGTAGAGCAACGCCAAAATCCTAAGGGCGGCGGAGAAGACAACGACGAAGACCAGACTTCAACTTCTCACGCGGACGGAGATCAAGGTGCAGATTCTGAGGAAGCTAACGATTCCACACCTTCTGACTACCAGAAGAAGGAGAGAGCTCCAATTTTGAAAGAGAACGATACCCCATCAGAGTCTGAATCAGATTCGGGTATATCATTGGGTTCAGATATTACTACTGCTACTGCCTTACAACGAACTGCACGCAAAAGAAAATCGCCATATTGCTGGGAGGAGCGCAGCAAAGTTAAGTGCAGGAAACTCGATCTTCTTTGCTGGATTCAAGAGAAGCGGGACAAGTGCGAGCCGATGCAAAACGAAATGGTCAGCATACCGGTGGCCAACTTGAACGGCGGCCTTAAGGCGGCCAGCAGCGGATCCGGAGTGGGTGTGGCGGCCACGGGCGGTGTCGTCTCCTCGGCGGTGCTGGCCAATGCGCCACGTGTCTACCTGACGCCCTCCTCCACCTTCATGGCCAATCGTCAGGCGACGGCTGGCATGGTGGCGGCCACGGGTAAGCTCAGCGGATCATTGATAGGCGGCGGCATCGGCGGCATCGGCGGTGGCGGCGGTGGCGGCGGCGGCACAACAACAATGGTCGGCGGCACCTCATCTGCCGCCGGCACCGTTCGTTACTTTTCGCAATTCAGCAAAGTGCAAACGGCCGGCGGACCCAGTCTGCAGCGAAAACTGGTCAACGGCGACACCATTGTGCTGGCCAATGGCAACAAGGGTCTGTTCCTCACCAGCAGCAGCAGCAGCAACAGCGACAGGGCCACGGTGCTGTCCACCATTGCCGCCAATGGCAATTGTTCGCTGCAGGCCAAAACGGAGCTCTTGGAGGAGGAGGACATGCAGCCGGGAACTGTGATCCAGGACGACGACGACGACGACGAGGAGGACGAGATGGAGGTGGATGGTGATGGGGATGGAGATGGAGATGGAGATGGAGATGGGGATGGTGATTCGGACAAGGACGAGGACGAGGACGACGAGGAGAAGAGCAAACGCAGTGCACCACAGGATCAGCCACTGGCACTGACCACCAACTCGGCGGAGGGCAACGCCTCCGACGATGAGCCCGAGCTGGACATTGTGATCAACAATGTGGTCTGCTCCTTCAGCGTGGGCTGCCATTTGAAGCTACGTGATATTGCCCTCCAGGGCTCGAATGTGGAGTATCGTCGCGAGAACGGAATGGTGACCATGAAGCTGCGCCATCCCTACACCACGGCCTCGATTTGGTCGTCGGGCAGGATCACCTGTACGGGTGCCACCTCCGAGTCAATGGTATGGTTTATATTCGTATATATCTTTCTGTAAGCCGACGCTTTAATTGACAATATGTTTCATCTTTTAGGCCAAAGTTGCGGCTCGTCGCTATGCCAGATGCCTGGGCAAGCTTGGGTTTCCCACTCGCTTCCAGAACTTCCGGATTGTCAATGTGCTGGGCACCTGCAGCATGCCGTGGGCCATCAAGATTGTCAACTTCTCGGAGCGTCATCGCGAGAATGCCAGCTACGAGCCGGAATTGCATCCCGGTGTGACCTACAAGATGCGTGATCCCGATCCAAAGGCCACCCTCAAGATCTTCTCCACCGGTAGCGTAACCGTCACAGGTGAGTGGGTGTATACATCATCTCCCCTCGATCCATTTCTAATTACGGTTTTTAATGACCATCAGCGGCCAGCGTAAGCCATGTGGAGTCGGCCATCCAGCACATTTATCCGCTGGTCTTCGAGTTCCGCAAGCAGCGTTCGCCGGAGGAGCTGCAGCATTTGCGCCAAAAGCAACGACAGCAAACCGGTGGCGCCGATCCCAACGAGCTGGAGAGCCAGGTCGTCTCCGAGAACAAGGTGGCCGCCCAGGATAATATCTTTATTAATACAACGGCGGCGCACACGAAGCCGCTGCCGGGTGACAATACGCCGGCCACCTCGGGCATCATGTCCACCACTATTGATAGCACGGAGCGCCTTAAGCAGTTGGAGAGCTACCACCAGATGATGCAGCGTACGCAGGTGGAGCGTCGTCACATACCCTTCCAGGGTGAGAAGGTAGCCTCCGCCTCCACCTCGGCAGCAGCCGCCAAATCCTCGGGGGATAATATCTGTGCCAATGCTCGTCGCCGGGCCACCGAATGCTGGGCCACCAAGCTGCAGAACAAGCGTCCGCGTTACAATGATCCCGGCACTACGGGCAGCGTTAATAATGCCTCGGGCACTGCTGCCACCACCTCGTCATCATCATCAGCCTCAGTCTCAGCATCAGCATCAGCCTCAGTCGCCTTCAATGTTGCCTCATCGTCGTTGGGCAGCAACCAGTCGGCATACCTGCGTAATCCTCTCAAGACGGCCGCTCTGGCCAATGCCCGTATGCGCGGGGCCAAGGTGCCAACGGGCATGGTGCTCAAGCCGGGCACACGTATTGCACCCACCAGTGGCTTCCTGCACCAGCACCAGCAGCAGCATCTGCAACATCAGCAGCAGCAGCAACAGCAGCAGCAACAACTACAACAACAACAGAAGATGATGCGCCAGACCAGCTTCTCGCCCAGCGATTTCCAGGTGGACGACTTGATCGAGGAGGAGGACAGGAACGAGTTGGACCTGCTCCAGTATTAAGCTACTAGCGCTGGCCATGCCAAAACATTTAAAACTTAAATAAGAGATGGATGGAAACACACACACACACACGCACGCACGATGAAACAAACAAACAACGTGCCACACAAAACAAACAACAAAACACAGAAAACTAAACGAATCGAATTGAAACGAATTGAAACACACACAAACACAAAGCCCAGAGAGCTTTTCACCCAATTCGTTTGTTCGTTCGTTTAAGCCATTTTTCATCACACATTTGTTTGTGTTCGCCGCATTTAAACGAACTCGAGGAAGAACAAGACGCTGGTCCGAAAACAAAAAAAATTGAGATGGAAGAGCAATCAAACAACATGAATCCAAAGCGAAACTAAAATTCCCCATCCAGCAACACCAACAAAAACAAAATCAACAACAAAACGAAGAGCCAAATATTTAACTTATAAGGTGAGTCAAATACATATTTTAAGCGTTTACATTTTTAAGTTTTCGTATTCCGAATTTTGGCCTTTAAATTTCGGCTTTTATGTCGTTTAAAAAGCATTGGGCATTCTTTACATACATTTTTATCGATTCATTTTCATCAAAAAAACTTTATAAATGAAAAATACGGTTATTTTATATATTAAATCTTTTAAAGTATTAAACTATTACTTGATTCCATCAAAAGAAATTAAATTCATTTTAAAATTGCTGTTATCTAGTTTTAAAAATTTGATTTTACAAATGATTTAGAGCAGTAATTAATGCCCTATCCTTTTAAGAATTTAAAATTACTTTTAAGATAATGGCTTCCTACTAATATCCATATTTTTTTTGACTTTCTCCTTGCAGATTTACGTTTAAACGACTATAACTTAAATAAGCACGCAGAAACAAAAAAGCATATAGCATATAAATTATTTCGACCCCGAAATATCCCCTGCAACCTCAAAAACATCCATATGGTAAACACACAGAGCTTACCACAACGTAAATTTAAGTGTAGACTTAAAACTGACAGCAAAATACGCGTTATGAAATACGTATGCCAGCGTCTTACGTATGTAACCAAAACCTGTGGATTGCGTTGAGTTTTTTATTATTATTATTATTATTTTTTTTTTTTGTTAAAATAGGTAATTTATGTGAGCAAGACCACCGCCTAAACAAATACTGTAAACCTAAATGGATCGCATTATAATGGATCCGCACACATACGACTTATCAAAAGCAAGCAGTGCGAGGCGAGCAAGCAGTTGGCAGTCAAGCAGTTTGGATCGCACGCTTACTTTATTGTTTGAACTTAAATTCAGACCAAGTTCTTCCGAAACAAACCAAAATTCTCAAGCAAAAACAGGAAGAAGAGACAAGAGAAAACACTAGAATAATTACACTAATTAACTGATAAACAAACAACTAATTAACTTTTCATGTATCTTCATCCAATTTTTTTTGTTTTCGATCTAAGTTTTATATGCTATAAGCGCTTCGTGTGAAGCAAAAGAAACAAAAGAAACAAAACAAAACCACATTTCAATACAATTATAATTATATTATAATACACACACAACCAATATCTGGTCAATATTAAACCAATAATAACAAATTAAAACTTCAGCAAGTAAATATTTTTAGTTTATGATAGTAGTTTTTGGGTTATGCATAAACTCGTCGAATTAAGCATACATTGACGTAGGTAAAAACAATAGTGAATTCGGGAATTAGGTTTATGCAACACTTAGAAACTATTATCATATATATTCGTATGTAGTAGTGTGTTTTTATTTTTATTTCGCATTATTTTAAAGAAACGAAAGTGGAAGCAACTTAAGCGTAGATTTACAAACTTGTTCCTGTGTTGTTAAAATCAGAAAGTAAATCCGAATCATAAGCAATAATATAATGTTTTTGTTGTAAAAGAGGTAAAAATTTAAAAAGAAAATACTCACGTTAAACATAAAATAAACTCTCTAGATGTTTTGGCGTGCCTTCACCCATAAATAGGAAAAAAGAGATACGATAGCCAATTGTACAATCATTGAAATAGTACTTCCAGACCAGAGCCCGAACTTTGTACATATATAAACCCAAAATTGATGTTTTCCAATTAAACGTGAATTGCCTCGTTCTTTACATCAACTTTCAATTTCTTTTGTGCTTGACATAGAACAAACTTTCATATCGTTCAACTTATGCATAATCAAAATATCTTAAAAAAACAAAATGTAAGAAATATCAATGTTTTTCTTTAATAATTTAAACATTTCTTTAAAAAATGTATTTTTGATTTGCATAAACGAAATCGAGAAATGAAAATGCCTTTAGGGAACAAATAACTAGCGCGGAAAGGAAAGAGATAGGTTTAGGTATAGTGAAAGAGAAAGATAAAGAGAAGGAGAAGGATATTGACCAGATCGGAGCCGAAATGTATTTTTTGTGTATGCGAATGTGGATAGGTCGAAACAGACCCGAACGTGTTACAATTGCAAAATTAACTAGCCACTAAGCTTAGTCCTAAGTTAGTTGAGAAACGGAATACTAAATTGTAAGCCAAAATGCATATAGCAATCTAAATGTACATAAAATAGTTGTTAACAAATCACAAAACAAACAAAAGCAAGAAACCAACAATAGAGTAAAGTCTTCACGTGTAACTGCCTTCGGAAATTACAAAGAACGAATGAAAATCCATTTAAATGCGGGAAGTAATCTGTTAATCACGATTGTAAATTACTTCAATTGAACCTAGTACTTTCACCCGATTTTTGTTTAAACAACAACAACAACAACAACCATCAACAAACAGACAGATCGAAAGGCCTAAATAAGTGTATTTGGTTTCATGAACTTTAAAAAAGCAAAACTAAATATTAATATAGTATACAGATATATTTTTGATTATTATGTATTTAAAGGAGAACAATGAAATGATGCAAGTATCGATGATAACTAAGAAAAAAAACAAATTAAGAAATCAAATAGCATAATTCTGTTTTTGTTTTGCCGTAAAGACTGCATTATACCAACAATTAATTATATACAAAATAATAAATAAATAACTGATAGAGCTGGCGAGCAAGCTTTGCATTAAGCAGAGAACAAAACGGATAAATAAATATTAAATCAAACAGAAAATATCTAAAAAAAAAAAACAACAAAACAAAACAAAACAAAACATGGAAAACAAAACCAAGAAACATTTATTTATTAGATCCTAAGAAAACAGAGAGAAGTTTTCGCCAGCGGAGATCGAGTCAGGCCAGAGGCGGACCTTAAAGGTCTCGCATCCAATACGAAAAGCAAGATGAAATTACCTTACCAAAACGTGCTAGCCCCCAATCCACCACAATCCATGGTAATTCGGTGGGAGAGTCTACAAAAGTCTATAATAAGGCGAGAATCGGAATAATTAAAACTACCGTATGATAAATCAATTACCAACTAGCTGGCTAACTTATATCCACTAAGATTTATAGTTCCCCCTAATCCCTGAAACTAGTTCTAAGTGCATAAGTTGAAAGCAAGAAAAAAACTAAAAGTTAGATTTATACATTAAATATATATATATATATATTTATATATATATATATATGGAGAAGAGAGGAGCGAAGAGGAAGATAAAGCTGAAGAGGAAGGTATACTTTAGTTTTGAGATTGTTTGCTGCATCTTTCACATCTGAAGCAATAAATTATATACCAGAGTTATTGCGAAGCTCTAGGTTTTTGAAAAAGCTAGTCTTGGGCCATCTTAAACTGGCGATTTCTCATATTGAACGTTTCGTGAAAAACATTTGGTTGTTCATATTTAACAAAAGGGCCACCACCACCACCACCACCACCACACAAAACATAAACGACAACAACTGATTTGATGTATGTATTTAGTTTAACGCTTAGACCCTAGTTTCCAAATCACACGAAATAAGCTAAGCAACAGTAAAATTCGAGGAACGTGAAAATGCCTTTCCTGAACTGCAGTCAACACTCAAATAAACGACAAACAAACAAAAATGAGAAAACAAACCAACCAACCAAATAAAAGCAAATTGTTTGAATAAAAATCAAATTACATAAAACGTATGCGCATTATTATTATTGGGCTTCATTTTTACCCATCATCGTTCTTCCAAGGGAATTTAAACATAAATATTTGAAATAAATGGTGCCACCCATGGATTTTGTTTATTTGAGTAAATATAGTCCCTGTAATTTAACAAAACGCATTGCTTAGTGTTTTGAGGCTGGCTGTAAACGATGCAGCGGTTCTACTTACATATATCCTAATGCAGTTAGCCCTATCTGAGCCTAAAGATAATTTGGTTGAATTTTTTTTTTTTTACTTTGCCTTATCTGGTTAATTATATTCATTCACTCGCATAATGGTGAATGATTAATTTTTGAATTGGCTTACTCTTTTTACTGGTTGTAAACGATGCAGTGGTAGTGGTGCTGCTGCTTCCCTAGTAAAGATGTTTTACAAATGCTGGAGGATTCAATATAGAGTTGGCCAACATCTTTGCATTGCTAAGATTCCCCTGGGAGTTTTATACAGTTTGTCCACTCAGGTGCTTCTGGCAGGAGTGGGTGATGAAGAAAACCACCGACACTGCGGTGGTGATTGCGATGTAGTACAGATGGTAGATAATGAAGTCGTTGCACCACAGCTTCATAAAGTGCTCACGATGATGGAGGTCAACAGTGGCCAATAGTAGCACCACCGACAGCAGCGAGCCCATCAGTATCATCTGGTGAAAAGAGTAGATCATCTTATATACGAACACCGAATCCCAATCTACGTTTATTACCGCATTGGAGGTGGCCAGGTTAATCTGAAAGTCGCCCAGGTATTTGGCCCGATTGAGGAGCGTGGCAGTGAAGGAGTAGATCAGCGTGAACACCACCGTCCAGCGCATGTAGAAGAGCTCCAGCCAGCTGAGATGCGGTGCATCCAGATTGTTTACGATCAGCGTGTTTTGACATCCCGAGCCGAATACCTCAACATCATTGGCCTCCAACGGGATGCTCAGATGCATGGCTGTGTCCAAGTGGATGTGGATGATCTTGTTCAGCATGTGCAGGACCACAAAGCAGGAGATCTGTGTGTGTGTGTGTGTGTGTGTGTGTGTGGAAAACGTGGATTGGATCGGTTTGGCAGGCAAATGCAGCTGGGCAGGAACTCACGAAGGCGCCGAGTGATAGGAGACCACAACAGAGACCCAGTTCCTTGCACATCTTGTCACTGAAAGCGTCCGGCTTCGACTGAGTCTACCGTCTGGTGTCTCAACTTCACTTTTCGCCCAATACCCTACATAACGAGAGTTACTTCGGTTTGCCATTATCTGATCACTATATTTCACATAATTCAGAATTAGTTTACAAAAAACATTCTCATATAGGGGGATAATATTTGAAATTCGGGATCATCATCCAAAGGAACGATTGGTCGTTAGTTTGGTAAAAAAAAAAAAACGTATTTCAAATAATTCAACAATGTTTGGATTTCTTCGTTCACAGTATATCCGATTTTTATATCATGTAGTACTTATTTAATATCTTAAATTGTTTAAATTGTTCGTTTTTTAAAAAAAGTAATAAATTGATCATAAAGATTAACATAAAGCTATGTATATTTTCAACTTCCACAAATTTTTATTGTGAATAATGAATAATTATAACAAAATATTAATAATTGCTTTCAGGGGTTTTAGTGACGAAAATATATAACTGATCCATGTTTAATTTCTGACTTAAGTACTTTCTCTTGTGCGTGGTAATGTCAGCGTATGTGGTATAAATCACTGAACTCATATAGTAAAGGGTATGCGACGTGTCGGTTACCAAGGCCGACTTCTTCCACGCAATCGGAGGCATCGCAGCTGGATTTTTGCTCGGAACGGGCGGTAAACAGTTTTATTTTACAAATGTTGTATTTTTTTTTTTTTTTTTTGGCGACTTAAATGCAGCTTAATCATACAATGACGGTGCGTGGATTTGTTTGGTGTCGTGTGGCTGAATGCATGAGGCTTTAAAATTAGTCAACTTGTGTGGAGCTTTTCTTAGGGAAACTACCGAACCAATCGGGTTTGTAAAAAGTTAAAAGTTAAAGTCCAAGAAGTATGGTTGGTTGAAAGGCTGAAGTGAATGCCAAACACTACTGGCTAAATTTGACGCCAATGTTGTTGACACGCGTCTGCATGTGCTGCAGGACATCCTGCGAGAACTCCTCGATGGTGGTGAAGCGGCTCTTCTGGAAGCTGAAGATGTCGCCCAGGAAGGCGAGCAGCTGCTCCCTGAAGTAGTGGCAGATGTCGCGCAGGTTCTCGTTGGGTCCGAAGAAGCCCCATGCCATCAGCGGCGATATCTGCTCGGATATCACATAGAAGTGCGACATGAATCCGTTGGGAAACTTGAGCATGCGCTTCTTCGCCTTCAGCACCGACCACACGGCCGTGGTGAGAGCCTGGAATGCAAACAAACCAAACGAGGCATGAGTAAATCTGTATTGACTTCTTGGGAGTTTCATACTCACCGTCTCTTTGAATCCGTTGGACAGCCAGCGGTTTTGCACCACTGCCGTGACGCTGGCCGGCGGCGCATCAAGGTCCTTGAACGAATCCAGGATGATAAAGTCCAGACAGATGTCGTAGAAGGTCATCGCCTTGACATTGCGCTGCTCCAGCTCCATTTGGATGCACGGCCAATTGCTGCTGTCGTGCAGATAGTTGACCATGTCCTCGTAGCCGACGAGGAACTCCTTGGTGTCCTTGTCGCCCAGGCAAAGCAGATCGGTTAGGATCTGACGGCCGGCATCGCAGATCCATTGGCCCACCGCCGGATCCTTGAACAGGAACTGAAAGGCCAACCGAACGCAGTGCAGCTTGGCCAGATACTCGGTGTCGGTGCTGCAGTGCATCAGCTCCGCCCGAATAGTGCGACACGGCACCGTGTACTCATCGTGATGCTTGAGCGCCGTCTGGAAGAGCGGATACTCCTCGTACGAGGTCTCGATGAAGCCGTCGAATTCCCGCAAATCCGCCACCTGGTCCAAGGCGGAGGCAAAGCTTTCCGCCGAATCAAAGTTGGGATCGGAACCGGCTCGACTGAGGACACTGCCGGACTTGCGGGATCGCCGATCGTCGTCCACTTCCTCCTCGGCCTCGTCAATGGAGTGCTCCTCGCGGAACAGCACCGAGCGCTGGTCCAGGAAGAGCAATTCACTCTGCTCCTGCAGTGTGTAGGCCATCTCCAGCAGGTTCTGGATCTCGCGGCAGAACTCCGAGTCCTCCGCCGTGGTCATCAGGGCGGGCAGGCCGCCGGGCGAGTAGTGTGCCGCCAGGGCATCCTCCCAGAAATTGATCACCGTGTCCAGCGCCTCCATGCCCATCATGCCCAGCTGTTGGGCCGTCAGTTGGGTGACCACCGAACCGGTGCCGCCGCCGCCGCTGCCACCGCCAGGCGCGGCATTCTGTACGCCCAAGACGCCGACGCCAATCGAACCGGAGGCCATGGACAGGCGGTCCGAGTAGGCCAGTGTGGAGCCCACCGGACTGCCCGATCTCGCCGAGGCCTTGGACCCGGCTATCGAGATGAGGTCGTTGGGGCTGCGCATGCTGTTACGGTTCCTCCGGCCCGTGTACTTCCTGGCCCTTCGAGGCGGACGCGGTGGCTTGCGGCGCCGCAGGAAGCGTGAGAGGACGCTCATCAGAGCTACGCCGGCCGTCAGCGAGAAGAGGACGACCTGTTAAAGGGATCACGCTAATTAGTAAGCAGTTTAATGTATCTATACTGTCTTTGAACTGCCAAAAGGTTGTAGGACAACCTTCTTAGGAGTACTCTCAGTTTGGTACCCACCTTTGTGGTGGTGGAAACGCGGAAGGGCAGCAGGCTGCCGCCACTGGTCCAGGAGGCCGGCATGAGGCGTTGCATCCTGCGGCGAGGGGAACTCCTTGGTGAATCCTGAGAGTCCGTTCCGCTGGGAATGGGAATGGAAAACGGCAATCTCTGGGTGCGTCGATGATGCGTGCTCGTCGTGCTTTGAGGTTAGACCTCTGCGCCCACTCCGCGATGCCCGCTCATCGGCTGGCGCTATCAGTGTCTTTTGGTTTCGGTCTTTCTGGCGCGGCTTTGACCCTGCGCCCCATGTGCGGAATGCGCCCTTTGGAATGGGTCAAGTTCTGTTGATGCTGCTGCTGTTGCTGCTGCTGCTTTTGGTGGTGACCCAATCGATTAACTCCGGCTATGGAACTCCAGTGGTCTAGGGGACTGGGCGGAGTTTCACTTCGCCTCTGTTATCAGTGGAAACTTTCACTTTTAGGCCTGAAAACAACAAAATTAAATTGCATCACAATGTTTCTGGGAGAGAAGAGGAAAGATGAGCAGAGCGCGGAGCGGCCGATAGGCCTATACCCCCTCTTTCCCAGGCCTATCGCGATTCGATATCACAAGGTGTGATTTCGATAGGTCTAGCGGCAAAAAAAAAATATAAATCACGTAAATTTGTTGTTTGACATAAAGCACTAATTTTGGCATTAAGAACTAAATTGTGTCACTACTTTCATTTTTATGGTACAAATATTGTTATTTTTGGCGAACATTTGGGTCCAACATCGCAGTTTATCGCAGTTTTTTACGAAATTGGTCAAAAAATTAAAACATTCTAGTTTGAATGCATTAATTAGAAATATTGTAGCGAGGTGGAACAGTATACTACTGAAAATAGTTCAGCTGTCAACTGTTTACCAATCATAATTTTGGGTCATTTCTCTCAGACCTGTTAAAACCGCTTTGCACCGGCTGGTGGTCACGGCTGCTTAGCGTTTTTCGGTCACTGTTTGCCGTGACTTTAAGTCACAGTGTGCAGCAATTGCGCATCTCTGACAGAGTTGCACATGGTAATCGATAAATGATTGATTTGCTGCAATTCCCAATTGGCGGGAAAGGGGAAATAGTTGCTAATTTAAACAAATTAAAACTAAATCAATTATGACTCTTAGTTTTTGTTGTTCCTCTCAAGTGTTGCTGCCAGCTAAACATACCGCTTCGATAAAAATGGCCGCGATGACGTCACACGCCACGAAGCAGCGACAACAAACAACAACAGCAACAACAACAAAGCACTTTGAACCGGCAAGAACCGCTAAAGGCGAAATATTTTGGCATTATTATTAAAAATTCTGTATTTTGGCATTGGCACGGGCCAAAATACACGCAATTAACATTCACACGCACACGGAAGAGCGAGTGAGAGAGCACATGATCGCTCTTACTCATCTGTTGAGCAAAAAGAAAGAAAGAGAAATTCTGCGATATTCTTCTGCGATTCAATGTGGATGTGATTGTTATATTTTGTTATTAGTTCAGCGACGCCACTCGTCATCAGCCGTCACCCGTAAACGATGTCCGAAGATGCCAAAAGTGAGTGCATAATGGATCTGGTATTTTGTTCGATGCTCAGATGCCCAGATGACGAAGAGAGATGAATCCGGAATGCAAAGTGCTCCATTACTCCATTGTTCATAAACAATTATGCAGGTCCAGGACCACGTACGCGGAACATCATCGAGAACCAGCTGTTCCGCCGGCAGCGCAGTCTGAAATTGGAGGCACTGCAGCGCCAACGGACCTTGGATTCCGGCGAGGGCGTGGATGGGCTCGGCCTAGACTCGGAACCCTTCGACAAGGTCAGTTTTAAAATGCCTCTAACCAAAAGGTATCTTCTTACCACACCCAACCTCTTCCCATTCCAAAAACAGACGCACATCGTCATCATCTTCACGGAAAAGGCCAAGCTGCGACACTGCCAGGATGTGGAGAAAATCATCCAGGAGTTTGGCATCCAGACCACGCTGGAGATCGTGGGGTAAGCAGGCTTTTTGGTTTAGGCCTTGATAATACCAAAAAATCCACTCTATCCCATTAAAACTGCCAAAAAAATATGTTAACCATAAATCAAAAAAAAAAATAGTCAAGAATTCAAAAGTGATTTATATAACTCAAAAAAAATATGAAAAAATAAGATTTGAATTAATTTAATTAATTAATTTAAAGTAAGGACAGTACCACTTCAGAGATTGAAAAATTGCCAGAAAAAAGAAATTTTAAACTTAAAATTTAAAATGTCGAATTATCCGTGTGATACAAAATGAAAAAAAATTATAACTTTATTTTATTAAAAAAAAAGGAATATCTTTGATACCACGTTTGTGGTTCTCAATCACGAAAATATTGTGGATAATCTCAACGCACCGAACTAAACAAAGCCAATATTTATATAATCAAAAGTGCATTGTTTATAGATCAACAAATGTAAACATGATTTCAACAAAGATTTCAAATTGTTTGTTATCAAATCGTTAGAGCACTCAAAACTATAATTCGGCAGAAAAAATATTATCAACATTTTATTAAATTTCATTATTGATTTAGAAATACAATTTAAATAAAATTTGTATTTTAATAAAAGCATAACATTTTAATAAATATTGTTAGATATAAATAGTTTTGTTAATACACATATAAGTTCTCTTTTAATAAATTCAATGTACATAATTCCATGCAGAAAAACCGAAAAGTACCTGTATCTTTCGGCCAGCGTGGATACCTTGCTGCGTTTGGCCGATGCCGCCGAGCTGGAGAAGATGACCACCACGAACAGCATGCAGAAGTTCAACCACGGCTGCATCTCGGACTTCCTTCTGCCGGGCATGGGCAAGGATCAAATCCTGCGCTACTGCGAGATACCTGTCCTGATCAAGGACGTGATCCAGGATGGCATTAAGTCGTATCTGCAAAAGGGCTACATCGAGGATTTGTTTCCCCTGCACGATATCGTGAGTTTTTTTTTATATTTTTAATGAGCAGGGTATTCAAAATGATATCATTTTTTGTAAACACATTTAGCTGTATCTGGAACGCTTCAATTGGAACCTGAAACGCACCAAGCTGCCCATCGAGGACATCCGCAACTACTTTGGTTCCAGCATAGGCCTTTACTTCGGCTTCATCGAGTTCTACACAAAGGCTCTGGTGTTTCCCTCTGTTTTCGGTATTCTTCAATGGGTATTCGACCTGAATATCTCGCTGGTCTGCAGCTTCTATGTGATATGGACCACGGTGAGTGGGTTCACTTACTGAATCAAAACGATAGCAAAGTAAACTATTTGCAAATTGAAAGGAAATTTCTTTTCAGTTTTTATAATGCTAGAGTGTGACAAAGTCTAAATATAGCACCTTTTAAGTGCTCTTAAGTTGGAAACTTTTAAGTGCGCTATTAAAAATAGCTAGTTTGTATTTTACTTTTGGGGATTTTTAAATTTTAATTTTACGATCACTAATCTTTAAAGTGTATTATTTTGTGTTATTTATAGTCATATATTCAAATAACATTTATAACTACCTTTCTAGAAAAAGCTAGCCAAAGTCTTTAAACGTAATGTAACCCAGATATTTTCGGTCATTTAAATGCTAATTCTTACTTTATTAATTACGAAAATTTGAATCATAGTCTATCGTTAAAGTCCCAAAACCCTCAAAAATATTTACAGATCTTTCTGGAGCTGTGGAAGCGCAGGTGCGCCGGCTACTCATACCGCTGGGGCACCATCGAGATGAGCAGCCTGGACAAACCGCGTTCCGCGTACACGGGCCAGATGAAACCGGATCCCATTACGGGCAAGATGACGCTGCATTATCCGATGCGCTACACGTACCTGCAAATGTACTGCATCTCGTATCCAGTGGTCCTGGGTTGCGTGGTCGCCGCGGGCTGGTTTGCCCTCTACCAGTTCCAGATTGAGGCCGAAGTGCTGGCAGATTTCGGACCCGAATCGTGGCTCTTGTATATACCGGTCATCGTGCAATCGGTGCTAATTGCGATCTTCTCGTGGGCCTACGAGAAGCTGGCCACATTCCTAACCAACCTGGAGAATCATCGCACGCGATCGCAGTACGATCGGCATCGGGTCAACAAGCTGATGCTCTTCGAGATCGTCAATAACTTCTTCTCGCAGTTCTACATTGCCTTTGTGCTGCAGGATCTGCGCCAGCTGAAGTACCAATTGATGATGCAGCTGCTGGTCTTCCAGCTGCTTTGCATCGCCCAGGAGATCGGCATACCGCTGCTGGCGGTGCTGCGCCAAAAGTACGCCGAGTTCCGGCATCGCGAGGTGGCCGAAGAGAAGCTGCGCTCGATCAGCGATCTGCCGCGCTACGAGCAGTCCTTCTACGAGTCCGGCCTGGATGAGTATCATTCCACGTACGAGGATTACCTGCAGGTGTGCATCCAGTTCGGCTACGTGGTCCTCTTTGCCGCCGTTGCCCCGTTTGCCGCCATCGGGGCGCTGCTGAACAATGTTTTTGCCGTGCACATCGACATGTGGAAGCTGTGCAACATCTTCAAGCGGCCGTTTGCGAGGCGGGCCAAGAACATCGGCGCCTGGCAGCTGGCCTTCGAGTTGCTCTCGGTCATGTCGCTGCTCAGCAACTGCGGCCTGCTCTTCCTCCAGCCGAATGTCAAGTGAGCTTTGGCTTTTCGAAAGCTTGAAACTCTAAATAACTCTTTCGATTTTCTTTCTTTCTTTTTTTTTCTTTGGCCAAAAGGGACTTCTTCTCGCACTGGCTGCCCTCGGTGCCGGACCTTTCGTTTGTGATCTTCGAACACTTGCTGCTGGGCCTCAAGTTTCTCATCCACAAGGTCATCCACGAGCGACCGCGTTGGGTGCGCATCGGGCTACTAAAGGCCGACTATGAAACCAGCCAGGCGCTCAAGCAACTCAAGTGGGTCGCAAACTCATCGTTGCCGTGGAGGCTAATCCAAAACTAATTCTCTTATGCATTTGCAGAAAATTCAAGGCGGAGGCCAACAAGATGGCCTGAGAGGAGCCCTTGGAATCGCCGGATCTGTCACTCCTTTTGGTGCTAATCAAACCAGTCCATTTTGAAGGATATTATTATTATTTATAAAGATACAACTAAGCGCTTTTACTGTGAATGTTCGAGACCATCGGAAGAAAGGTGCCTTAAACCTAAAACTCTTATATAATACACATTTATGTCCACCAATAACTGAAGATAGAGCTTTTCTCTGGCCGGGATTAGCGTGCTCCTCGAAAATGCCGGAACGCCAAGTAGGCATCAAGGGCATGCAAAATGCCCGCCGCATAGCCCATGTACTGAAAGTTAAGGGTTATTGCGCTTGAAATTTGTGGATTATACTCTCTGACTTTCTGGCACTCACATAGCAGGCAGTCATGGCCGGATACGCCCAGAATCCGGGTCGCACCAGGAACTGTGGATGCAGCCACACCACGCAGGCGAATCCCATGTAACTCGACGAACTGAAGTACATGCAGCTGGCGAGGCCGTTGAACAAGGTCTCCTGAAATCATGAGAAAATCAACAACATCAGGGTGGTGGCAAAATTCAAACTAAATCTATGAATTGAAAAATTTCAGATAGTTAACTAAATAATAAAAACACTTCCCTTTAATACATATGGAGCATTGACTAAAACAATTGTCTAAAAGACATAACTAAATTAGTCAAACTTAAGTCTACATTTCTAGGAAATTATTTTCACGAAAATTCATTATATATTTATTAAAAACAACAGGCTTACTTAAAATAACAAGCGCCTTAAATAGTTTTTCCATTTAGTTAAGACACTCATTTTTACAAAGACTAGTTATATATTGATTAAAAGCAATAATATACTTGCAAAAATTAACTTACTTTAATAGTCTTTATGATATTTGTTAGTAAAATAGAAAATCACTGTAAATTCTCGAAGTCTATTCATTTTTTCAAATTATAATTTAAATGATTTATCCATTCAGTCAAGATAATTGTTTTTACGAAAATTCGCTTTAAAAATAGTTCAGAAAAAAAGAAAACAATACTTTTTAATTTTAGTGATGGAATTAAAAGTTTAAAAAAATTAATAGCCATAGTCTTTCCAATGAATTGAGTTGGTTTGTTTGCTTGGCCACTTGGATTGTGTATGATATTTCGAGTTTTTTAGAACTCCAAGGCTACTCACAAAGAGGGACTGGCGGATGAGGCTGTAGGATTTGTCGGAGAAGGCGTAGCAGAGCAGCAGGATGCCGGTGGTGGTGAAGCAGTGACCCGTAGTGGCCAGAAAGCTGGTCAGGGCTTGGCCAATGGAGTCGGCATACGGCACGCCGTACCGGATGAGCAATCCCTCGCAGAGCATGGCCAGGCCAAGCTGCATCAGCTTCAACAGTCCGATCCGCGACAGAACGAACCCGAAGTTGATGCAGGTGCACACACGGCAGCAGCAGATCCGGATGCCCAGCGGCTGGCCCATTCCCCGTACTCCAAACGAGGCCATGGTCTGATTTCGACTGATCTCCGTTCTAGGCATGCAGATGCAGTTGCAGATGCAGATGGAGATGCTGATGCTCCGCTTTGTTGTCTGTGGCTGAGGATGCGGTTCTATAAATAACTCCCCAAAACATGTGTGTGCCCCAAGCGGCGCATTTTGTTGCATTTCGAGTGCTGTTCGCACATAATCCTCCCCAATCTGAAGTTAAATTTAGATCAGCGTTGAGCAATTTCTAGCTTAGGTTTTAGCTAAATGTTGCTTCCAACATACATTGTTTACTTCTTTCAAAAATGTTAATTTCTTTTAGTTCAATTGGTATGTTACGTTTGGCAACTTCTATGAATTGAAAAGACACAAAGTCAAATTTTATGTAACACAAAATATTATATTCTTTAAATTTCGAATTTTAACCTTTCAAAGCTATTAAACAGACATAAGTCAATAATTTTTTTTTTAGTTTTTTAAACAAATTTTGGGTTAAAAACAATTTAAAATAATTAAAGTATTATTTTTTTTATTTTCTATAATTTTGCAGCTCTAAGAAACATTCAAAATAATACCTTCGCTTTTTAAAATGTTTTTAAGTTTTGTCTGTTATCATAACAAAAAATTTAAATTTAAAATGTTTTTAAGTTTTGTCTGTTATCATAACGAAATTAAGTACAAAATAATTTTGCAACATTTAAATACGAAAATAATAGAAAAACTAGGGTGTTCCTTAAGCCGAAATGTAATTATATATATAAATCAATATTTATTAATATTTATTTAGAATTGTATTTTTTTTTGTATTCATTTACTCCATGAGATAGCTGTCTTGCCAGGTGTCATTCTCTCCTTTCGATGCCAGCCAAAAAGTCATATCAAAATTTCAATTGTTCGTAGAAAAACGTAGATCATAATTCCCCAAAATTAGTTATCAGCCGGTGGCAAGAGATCCTGCATCCTGCATCCTGCATCCTACTCCCTGCTTTCTGCTTCCTGTATTCTGTATTAAAAGTTTCCACTCCAGGATGTGCATGCCGTACCTGACCAAGCTCTTCGGCGGTGCCAATCGGCGGGAGCAACGCACCCGGAACGGAGGCGTCACCCCGCTGCCCAGTCTGGCCAATGTGCCCCAGGTCTCCGCGGATACGGTGCGCACCACCAGGTCTGCCAAATCCGGAAAATCCGGCAAATCCGGAAAGTCAGCCAGCCGGAGGAGCTCCAACACGAATACGAATACGAATGCGAATACGAATGCCAATGCCAATGCCAATGCCAATCAGTCGAGTGAGAGCAGCTTGGAATCGAACACGGATCACATGATGGTGGTTCGCAACACCTCCGACTCGGTGGCCCCCATTGTTGAACCTGTCGACGACGAGTCGAGGACCCGGCGATCCTGGTGGGGCTACCTCGGCATGAACAGGAACAAGAAGCCCAGCATTGAGTCGCTCTAGTGCTCTAGTGCTCCACCAATTCCACACCTCGATCGGAAATGGCAATCGGATACGGATCATACGGCTGATCATAGAATTTGGGTCGGACTCTCGCATAAACCAAAAAATGTGATTTTAAATAAATCTATTTGGATCTCAGAAACCCTCAAACCTCTAGGGTTATTAAATTTCGTATTTTAATTCCTTAGTGTTTTTTAAAAGATGAGAAATTACACATATATATTTAATGTCAAAATCTCATGGGCTTAGGTATGATCCAAGATCCCAGGAACTATAATACCTTTATGCATTTGTTATGCATTTGTTTGTTATAAACGTTAGACACTTATATAATTTTAAGAAATAATACTAACGTCAATTTAAATGTAAGATTATAATTTTGAGATATGTATAGTCCTTAAATGGAAGAGGTGATTTCTGAGTTGTTTTTAACTCTACCGATTAACTTTTACCGGTTAAGAAACGCGCTGATAACATATATATGGATCTCTGGATCCCACAATGTCGGCATTCTGATAGCATGAAGTAGTTAATTATATTTTAAATGTCAACACTTAACACACTTAAGAACTATTATACCTGAAGTACAGAAAGTTGGTATGTGCTTGTTTTAACGTACATCATTTTAACAAATAATTGTTCAAAAATCTATCGTTAATTTAATTTTATAAATCCTATTTCTATGCATATACTATCTTCAACGTCTTTAATGTTTACAATATTTAAAGATACTAAAGTTGATAGAAGAGTGATTTCTAAGATGTTCATAAAACCGGTTAGCTTTTTGTATAAAAACATCCTGGTATTATTAGGCACACTACTCTTTCCCTTAATGATAAACTAAATGAGTTACTGAATCGGGCGAAACCTAAAAACCATTTGAATATGAAAGTGAAAGTAATAAATCAGGAGGGCTACTGCCAAGTACTTTCACTTTCCCTGTAGATCTTGTCTGCCCCCAGCTTTCTGGGTGCTTCCTTTCCTTTATTCACCGACTTCTATAGCATATATACTCGGATCGGCTGTTGCTATAGCGGATAAATCGTGTGTCGTGCCCGTGGAGGGGGCGTGGCAGGGGCGGCAGGCAAACAAAGCTCAAACGTTCGCTACCGACAGCGATTAGTGTAATTTATCAGTCGCAACGGCAATTTATATGGTTATGCGCGATCGGTGGGGTATATATATATATATATATATTTTATATGGGGGTGGTGCTGCAGGGGCAGCGTTTGTGGGGGTGGATGCTTTTTGACAATACAATTAATGTGGCTGTTATCACAAGTAATTGTTGCTGCCGGCAGTTGTTATTGTTGCTCTTACCGCTATTGTTGCCGATTGCGTCAATGGGCATCTACACTGCAATGAAATATATACAATTATATACACAAATACAAGTACAATTAAAAAAAAAAAACAAAATTTATTTTATATTTAACTGAAAGGTTTAATTTTGTCTTTAAAAATAAATTTGTTTTCTGAAAAACCTTTGGACTTGAACTTTATAAGCTGAAAAGGGTGTTAACTTTTGTTTAAATATGTATTGATTAGTTATAAGACTAATAATAATTTATAAATATTTATTTTATTAAATTTTTTGTAAAACAAAATGAATAGTATTTAATAGTATTTAATATTTATATATAAAATGAAGATCACATTTTTTGTTTTTAAAAAATTTGCTTAAACTAATAAATAATTTTCAGTTTGTTACGTTTTAAATTTAATAGGTACAATTTGTAACTGTAATTTTTAGATTCTAAAAAAATCGGAACTTTTTAATTCTATTTTGTGGTAATTAAGTAAAAACGCAAGCAATCTATTTTATTGTTTAAAGTGGTTCATTTTAATTGTGTTTTAAATCATTGAAATCTATAAACTAAATCTTCAAATATTTATTGTGTGTGCAGTGTGGAGAAAATGCAGCTATAACAATTGAAGCTCCAGAAATGTTGTAACAAGTGAAACCGTTCAGAATTTGCATAAATTGTTTGGCTTGAGCGGGAATTTCGCAATCTGCAATTAGGAATTCGCCAATTTCGTCACGAATTTTGCACGTGCATAAATTAAGGGAGTGAGTTAATCGCTTGACTTCCATTTAGCGGCCGTGGGATGAGAGGCATATTTAGTTTTTCCGATTTTTCGCCTTTTCCCGACAAACAACAACGACGATCTCTGCTACACGTTCTTGTTTATTTTTAAAGTCAAGAATAAGAATAAAATATATGTATTGTATTTAAAGATATATGTATATTTACCGATCGGGTGTAGAATGGGGAAAGCTTTGGGCGGCTTTTTCATTGGGGCAAATGCCTCTGACGTCGCAACAACACAGAAAAAAAAAAAAAAAAAAAAAAAAACGAGCGATTAAAATTAACAATTTCACTTTCGGCTGTAAATAATCGTCGCATCGTCGTGTTGCAGTGAAAAATCACTTGTAAATTGTTGTGTCATTAATTGAGCAAAGACAAAAAACAAACAAAAAGTCGACACAGTGCGCTGATTGTTGTGCTCAAATTAAAAGGGCGACAAATTTTCATTTTTGTTTATTTCGGTTGCGGTGTTATTTTCGATCGCCTGACAATCTCCAAATCGCCTTTAAACCTTAAAACGTACGTACATATACGTATCCAAAACCAACGGCATCTAATTAAATAAATTGCATACCTCAGTCGGGCCAATAATTCCAGTCGCCAAATCGGACATATGTATATCCACTATCCACACATTTCGCGAGATCCAATCTGGCGAGAGAACCCAGAAAAGGAAACAATTGTATTCTGAGTCTGAGAGATCGGTATTTATTATGGGAACCTTCGCTAAAATTTACGGACGGAAATGTGGTCTATACTATATATGTTACACTATACTGTGTATAGGAATACAAGGAATTTTTTGTTTTGGGGGCCAGAATAGCGTCAAAATGACGTCTTAAGGTTTAATTAGTTAAACTGCTGAAAATTTGTTTAGAACCGTTGGGAATTTCCATTATTTACCAAACAAAACTGTTTTTGTTTTCGTGCCTATCCGGTTAAAAGTTGTTAGCTGAAGTTTAAGATAGCCAAAAAATGTAATAAATATATTTTTATTTTAACTTGAAAATGGAAGTTATTTAATAAAGGGACATCATTTAAATTAGGTTTAAGCTTTTAAAAATTGGTCATACAACTAAACAAAGTCTATTTGAAATCATAAAATCAATTGGAAAAACCCTTCACTTTTCTTGGCAGAAAATGTTATATGTATAATTTTTAACTGAAAAGTGAAATTCGCAGAATTTGCGCCACGTAAGAGGCCCTAAACATCCAGTTTCTGTTTTTGTTGGCCAAACAAACTGCTTTTCGCCATTAAAAGCCAACTGCAGCTGCCAATTGCAAATAGTAAATAGTAACCCAACTTAAAGTTCGATTTTTACGACCACCATTGTAATTGTTGATAAACAACAAGCGGACGAGCAAAACGACAACAAATGTTTTCTATTTGATTTATTTTTTCCATTTTTGTTTTTGGTTTTTTGCTGAAACGCAAATTCATGTGACAACAACACAAGATGAGGGCAATTTCTTGTAGCGAAAGCCGTCAAACGGAGGGCCGTAAACAAAACGGCCTATCTGGGCCAAGTATCGGAGATAATGCCGGTCGTCTGGGCCCACTGATTGACTATTATACATATACCTGGCCGATCCGATCCGATCCACAGCGATCCTGGTCTAGAAGTGGGCCTGCGATTGCCGTTTATTTATAGCAATTTGTTTGCCATTCCTCGACGTCACTAACATTTGCCATTGTCATGATTTTTTGGAAGTCAGAAAACGTATGGTCGGGGGGTTTTTAAACCGCACGCTTATGTTTCAACAACCGAGAGGGTAAATCAAGTGCACTCGAACTTTTTATCTGGGTCGTATTTCAGGTCGAAAAAATTAATTAGAAACCCTGCTTGATTTTGAAACCTCTTCTTTCACATTTCTCACAACACAAGTTCAAAGCAAACATTATTCTTAATTGAAAACTAAATAAACTAATAACTTTAAAATAGGGACATACAAAATAGAAATGAAAAAGGCACAGGGAGCATTTTTAAAAATTACAAAAACCATTTCGGCTTTAATTCAAATTGAATTGAATATAATTTCCAATGAAACAAATTAATCTACAATAATAATAATATGATATATATTTCTAAATACCATATTTATAAATAAAAAAATGTCTGAGCATTATTTTAAAATTTATTAAAAGAAAAAAGTCCGTTTATCATAGGTAAAATGTTGAACTAATAACTTACAAATTTGTATTAATTATATTATTTATTTAAGTACAAATAATTTCTCACCGTGTACCATACACCGGAGATGAGTTGACATAATGTAAACAAGTTGTCCGAGTAGTCAATTGATTGGAAAGCCCACAAAACACACACGTCGTCTATGTTAATTTACTATATCTTCCGAAACTCTTACTAAATTTGGAAAACCCCTTGTAGAGTGACTCTGCAGTTTAGAGATATCCTTTCAGTTCCCCGATTTAGTGCAGTAATAAACGCTCGATTAGTTGTCTATGTTTGGAATCTTATCTTTAAAGCACACACGACAGCACTCATAAGACTAATTATTAAATATATGTTCTTGCCGTAAAAATAATCTTAGTCATTGCTTTTTAATGGAAAATCATGAAGATTGATATGAAGATTGTTTTATTATTACTGTTTCGAGCCCTAGCCTATTTTTAAAATGTTATAGAGATGGATTACAGATAGGAATCTTTAGTGATATGATTGTTGTTCTCTTTCTTCACCAAAATATCGATGATTCACGCCCAAGCGGATCCAAAACAGAAAATCTTCCCATTCCTGACTGAAAGTACATGGCTAGAAAACAGAGAACAGTTTAAAAATCTGTCAACATGCGTCATTGCGAAAACACTTGTTGCCCACTTGTTGGCAAAATGGGCGTGGCCGGAGGTTAGCTGACACACAAAATGTTGGGGGCAAAACTAAACAATGACTTAAAAATAGTATAAAATTTAGAAAATATAACTAAACAAATTTATTTTACAAAAATTACTTTTCAATTAAGCAAATGTTTTTTGTTTAATAGTTATTTTCTTGAATCATTGTTTAATTGCAATATTTAATTAAAAAGCGGGTAAATAACGTGTTACGATAAAGTTTTCATAGACAAAAAACGAAATAAAAATGTAGTGAAACAATTTATACAAAATTAAAACTAATATATAATACCGTTGCTTTATATTTTATAGTAATATTAACTATAGGATTTTTTTTATTAGGAATTAAGACAACCAATTAATTTGGTTTTATTTTAAACCAGTTCTAATATTGTGACCGCTGCTGTGAGCACCCTTACATGCGGTTTTAAGTTGAAGTGTCTATCGGAGGCGCCATGTACCACAAATTCCTTTCTCGTGTCTCTCAGAGGGTCGTGTTCTATGCTGCTATTCTGATATTCTGCTATTGCTTATCAGCTTTTAGCTATACGCTATCGGCAAAGCAAATCGATAAATCATGTCCCCAGGGGACCGACGATCTTCCCCCACCTTGATCTACTGTTCCATTCGTAACTGACTTGATCGCTGGCATTGAGGCGCTGGCATCGCTTTCATTTGGCTACAATTTCAATTTCAATTTCATTTTCCATTCAATTCCATTGCGTTCGTTACATTTTAATTAGATTTAAGATCATTTTCGAATCGTCGTAGAGTAGACCCAGATCAACTTGACAGTGATCCCGTCCCCGTGCTTCCAATCTCCTCCTGTTTAACCCTCTCAAATTGCTTAGTTTGATTGACATTATTTAATATTCATTCGAAACTGTATGGTTATAGAACCACAGTTCACTGCATTTATTGAATAGCTTATACAATTAATACATACGTAAATATAACAAAAAATACAAATCCATTCATTTTAATTAATGATAATTGAATTAATAGACTCTATAATATTTCCCAGTGGCATTTATTAATTATATATGTTATTAATTTGTTACTTTCTTATATATGATTATATAATCAAAGATTTGAAAAAAAAACAAATTTATTTAGTAATGTTGTTTAGTGTAAAAATATAAAGTTATGGATGGACAACACTGCGTATGAGTAATGAAATGTGTTGTGCAACAAATTATGGCAATTTTAGCATGATTATGTTTTAAATTGTTTTAAGTTTTCTAAATACATCCTTTAATAAGAAAATAGTAACCAAATTAAAGATGCAAAATTTAAAATTCTGTTAGGTTTAAATTATGATTTTAAATTCTTAATTGTTAACTCCCTTAACTACATCGTAAATTAGGAAAAATGCAGATGGCTTAAAAACTAAGAGTTGACCTCTGCAAGGATATAAAAAGGTATATTTTGTATTTTGAAAACCTTAGATTTTTATCAACAAAATAAAGTGTAGAGTTTTATCCTAAAATACGAAAAATGGCCAACATTTTAAGTCCCTCAATCAATCCAAATTGAAGATAAATATTCACTAAATTTTATACCTTAAATGAGAAAAATTAAAGATGAAACATTAAACATAAACCATTTCGACATTAATAAAAATTGACCCTCAAATGTTATTCAAAATTAAATATTTCAGAAAGTATATTCTGAATTAAATCTGGGATATTGACCAATAAACTGCGCTTTTTTCAGCCAAATTAAGGTGCTTGGCCTGCAGGGGGTTAAGGCCCCTTCGTCGGCGATCGGTGGACTGCGCTGCCGACGTCGCAGTCGCCGCTTTTGGCGCAATCGAAAGTTACGTTTGGGCTTTACGTAGATCGCGTTAGTCGAACGTCGAGTGTCGGCGGCGTTAGTTCAGAGTCTCAAACACAAATTCGAGCACTTTATTATCCCCAAATACGATCGCCCGCTTTGGCCACAGAAATCAGCAAGATACCAGATACCTTGGAGATATTGTAAGTGAGAGGTTCTTACCTAATATTTGATGGATGTATCAAAGCCACCAACTCGAGTTGATGGCTCTTGAGGTTTCCCCGTTCGCCGTATGATCATCGATAATCAATATTGATTAGTGCGAAATTAAGTGACAGTGCTATAAAAGACAAGTTCTGAATTCATTTTAATGTGCAAATTTATATGATTGCCGAATTTTAATGAGAAAATTTCGACGCCGTTCTAATGCCGTAATTTGTGCCATTAAATTGCAAATTGTTGCCACCACCAAATGATTAAATTAATTAAATTATTTATGGCGTGGTGGCAAAACAACAACTGAAGATGCGACTCTACATATATTATATAGTGTCATAGAATTTTATGTATGTACATATTAAACTAGCTAAAAATCGTGTTCGCATTTCTCCAGCGATTTCGCATGCAATCCCAGCTTTCCACTGCCCATTCCTTCCGGCCCATGCCACAAATTCACAATCTAAAAATATAGACACGGTAAAAAATTACCAAACAAAATTTGGCTTAGGTTGTTAAAATGTAATTGTTATAATTTCAACAAATCTAGTTTAAAATAATAGGAAATAAAACTGTCAATTGACATTTGACAAGGGTAAGCAGCATCATTATATTAAAAAATAAACACCATGTGAATTTCATTCTAGAAAAAAATGTAATATAACTGAGTGATGACAGTTAATGAAACATTTTTTTACCATGAGAATTTTCTATAGTGCTTTAAATTTGTTTTAAGGCTTACGAGAAGATTTTAGTAGACACACTTTTTAACTGCTATTTTTAGCAAAAAAAAAATTGAAAAACTAATTCTTTTCATGACACAAAATAGTTTCTTTTGCAACATTTTTGTTCAGTGTATTTTTTGAATTTTCAGCTCTCTTTATATTGCTTAGTTTTCGATAGTTATTCGATTCGCATGCAAATCATGTGGGGACCTAATAAAAAACAAACATTCTGAGCTTTTAATTCCAAACATGAACAAATCAATCTCCCTTTTGGGTCTCCAAATGGCTCGTTTAGACGAAACCCCTTAAATAATAGGTGACAACTGGAGATATTCCCCATTTAACAGCCTCTAATGGCAATAAAAGGGCTTTATGGTTATCTTATTTCCAAATATTTTTCAGACTTGTGCTGCGACACGTTTTTCTTCGATTTTTTCGGCGAATCGTGAATTCGACTAATTGCCAAACGTGCCAGATAAAATTGCTATCCAATTTGGAGATATCACCAGTTACAGTCGTAGTTCTTAAAAGCCTAGTTATATACATTCCCTTAGATAAATGTAATGACTTTCTATATACTTACGTCTAATGATGAGTGTGAAACAAATTAAGCTAAAATGCAGAAAATACCCTTGTTTTTCTATTACACATTGAACTTAAAAAAATATACATAAATCTACTTCCGCACTTGTTAAGATATTTTAATTTTTTAGGGGAAACTAGTTTTTAAATTTATTTATAAAATGTTTGTACAGCTTTCAAATGGTGAATGGTTGTTTTTATCCACATATACAGTCAAACTTCCTCAGCTTCCGACTTATGGAAAGATGCAAACGTAATAGGAATAATAAAATGTATTATTTTTCAATCATGAAAGTTGTTTTACATTTTATGTAACAAAATTAATGCAAACACATTTCGTCAATTTTTAAAGATTTTCTTTAAAGAGAAACTTGTTATAGTAATTTATTTAAATTTATTTAAATTTACTTAAACTTGAGAGGGTAACATGGAAATTCGCATCATTGAAAAGTAAAATATATATATGTACATAAATATAAGGAAGTCTTACTGTTTTTGCCAGCTAGTTAGTGACTTGTCACTCACAATTAACTAAAGAATAATGCTTTTGAGCGGTGTGCCGCCGAAAATCGTCTGTAAACAATAAAATCAAATTAATTATGGCCAAATAAATCACTGACATCTCAAGTCGAGCAGAATTATTGCCCTCTCCTCAGCTGATAAGCGACATCGCTTAGCTGCGCTCCACCCAATTAATAACCAACTCGGGCAGAAGCGGTAGCCGAGGCAGAGGCGGTAGCAGAGGCAGCGGCAGAGGCAGCGGCAGAGGCGATTGGCCAACAACAGTTCGATGTCGATGCGGTGAAGTCGAGCGTGCTCCGCTCCGTGCTTTTTCATCTGCCGCTGCGCGTGCGCCTGTGGTTGCTGCAACTGGGCCAGTACGGTAGAAATTCCATAATTGGAACTGTCGAAGCCGCACTTTCAGTATCCAATATTCCATAAGCAAAACCCAATTTTTTTTGTTTAATATTTAGTTTTTAAATCTTAATTTCGATTAAGAATATAAGGATTGTATCAACGTCTTCCATAATTGATCATTTCTTGAAGTTCCATAATTTATAAAAATTGAATCTATAATTTGGAAAAAAAAACATTACAGCATCGTATTTATTTACTCTTTAACACGAAGTAAAGTCTGTTTTTTTTTGTTATAAGTCAAATATTATTTTCAAATTTTTTTTTAGCTTACAAAATATTAAAATTCATCTTTTTAAATCTATAAAAAAATTGAACTTTCATAACTCGAAAAATTTAATTTCTAATTTACTGAATTTTTGCATCATCAAGTCATCAAAACAAGCATGAAGGAAATCAAAAAAAATAAAATGTTCAGATATTGTCAAAAAAAAATATATGTAATTTTTGTGTGTTTCGATTTAAAAAAGCTCCACTGTATTTCGTTAGATTAATTAGTGTTTGATCGCTGCAGTTAGCTAACTGCATTTACACAGATGTTTCACGGCCTCCTCTTGTTTTTTCTTAACTTTAACACTGCAACAAAAAAGATAGCATATGGAGCTTATAAATTATAACTAATTTAACAATTTTAAATTTTCTAAATCAATAAATATCTTACAATAATTGTGTTGGTTTTATTTTCCAGAACATGGACCTAAAAATGGAGCTGGGAGGTTACATGCAATCCGGGCCCAACACGAAGCGATTTGTTGTAGAGGATTCGAGTGAGTGATCTGATCTTGAGGGGGTTCCCCTTTCTTCCGGTTTAGAAAGCACGGAAATGCGTCGGCGTCGGCAGTTAAATAAACCTGCTGCCGCCGCTACACGCATTTTGAATCGAATGGGATCAGATCGGATTTCGATCAAGTTGAAGTTCAACGGCTGTTGCCCCTGAGACATAAATTTATCGTCAACCGTCACTCAAAAAAAAGTGGTACTAATTCTCTAAAAAGTTGTATAAAGACAAAACACAAACATTTTTAAAATTTCGTGTTACTTATTTAATTATTTAAAATTCAAATATATCATTTTCAAAATTCCGTTCTTGAGGGATACAAAAAAAGTGTTTTTTAAAGTCTTAAAACTTTCTTTTCCATTCAACATAAAGAGAATTGTTTCCCAAAAAAAAAATGTTTCCTTTTTTTGTGAGTCAATAAATTTTACTGTTACATATATTGTTTAACTTTCCAAACTAAACATACATATTTAAGGCCGTCAAGCGCGGTGAAGTTAAAAGGCAAACTACATATTTAGCCATATAATTTCAGTGTTTGCTGTAGCTTTACAGTTGACCTTGGGTAAATTTACATTTCACACCTGCCAAATTGGAGCAGGCCGCAGTCAATCACTCACCAATCACCACTCACCTGTTGCTTTCCCTCAATTTTGCAGTTACCAAGGTGACTTCCGATGGAGAGCCGCACGGAATGATGACAATGGTGGCCGGATTGTCCGGACTCTTGGCGGCCATCATCATTCTGGCCGTGCTCGTGTCCATGGTGGCATGTCGCAAGCAGCGCAGGTAAGTTTTCCCACCCAATCCAAAATATGGTGTACCATAAAGATACATTAAAAATTTGAAAAAAAAATTTAATCTAAAAAAGAATGCTTTATAATAACATTCTAGAGTCTATCCAGTAAAACCTACATTTTTTTTATTTAAAATATAATATTTAACAATATTATGTTATACGTAAATGTATGTATGTAAAATTACATGCTTTGTACCAATACGTTTTTCGATGAACATTATAAAGCTATTGTTTGCTTATGACCAAATAATTTTTGGACAGTACTAAAATACATATATCTTTCCCCTCAAAGCAACAACAACCGGAAGAGCAACGCCTCTACCAATGTGGCCATGACCAGTGTTCCGCAGGATCAGCCGCAGTTGGCCGGAAACTTGAACGCCGCGTTCGCGGAGAGCACTCTGACCTTGGATCAGGTCAAGGTGACGGATAAGGAGGTCCAGTGGCGGCCCACTTCCGTGGTGGTGCAGCGGTATTAGCCCCAAAGGCGTATCCCCCAACCACGGACTACTGGAAGGGCACGTGATGTTTTTTGTGAACGTTTGAGACTGAGACTTAGCCTAAGGATTTCCATCACCATCTTTTATCGTATATGGTACTCTTTTTTTTGCTTTTTAAAATATGTTAAATATATATACATATATTATTATAGGAATAAGTGTAAACTGTTTTAATGGAGTTGGAAATATTAAAATAGTGACATGATTGGCTTACTTGACTTACTTCGAAATAAGATCGTCATTATTTAAATTAAATCGCGGCAAGCTTCAAAAAGCTGACCCAGCCAGGTACCTATCAACTATCCGCCTCAAGTTAGTTAAGTTAGTTTAAATTAATTTGAAATTAACAAATTAAACTTTTTTAAAAACCGATTGTTACCGAAGCCAATATAATTGAGTAGAGCAAAAATCGATTTTTATCGTTTCAATTGCTAATTGGTGAATGGAAAATATAAAGGGTGGTTGTACGCGCTAACGAAGGAGCCCATGGTGTGTGACCCCACTATTCTTCCAGCACATGGTATAATTTAGGGCCAATAGAACGGTGTTCCCGAACGTTCGCGGAACGGTCACACTGCTAGTCGCGTGTTCGCACACAAATCGCAATTTCGCTGTCGTTTTTGAGCCAAATATTTAAAAAAAAAGCAAGAGACAATCGCACGGGTCGCTTTTTATACATCTGAAATAATGCAAAGTTGCTTTGCAATAATTGCACTCCACAAATTTCGGTAATAATTCGATTCTCGAAAGAACCAGTCGTCTGCTTGTGTGTGTGTGTGAGAGTGTCTCGCTGCGTGCGAGTGTGCATAAAAAGGCATAGAGGCAAGGAGTGAGAGAGAACGAGCGAGAAATAGCTTATAAGGATATATAGCGAAAGAGCGAGAGAGAGACATTAGAAGAAGAAGCAGCGACGCCGACAACAACTGTAATTTTCCATTAATTTTTGGGCGGGTTTTGAGCTGCAAAAAAAAAACAACTGTCATACTATAACTTTGCTTTTTTTTTTATGGCCGACATGTGTATTTTGTGCACGTTTCGGTGAGTGCGTGTGATTGTGTGCGTGTGTGTGCGTATATGTATGATAAACTTGAAATACAACGCAATCGCAACGAGAACAAAACTCGTCAAGGTAAAATGGCAAAAAAAAACCAGAAGAATTGTGTGTGAAAAATTCCAACGGAATTACGCGAGAAATCATACGCACGTGTGTACGTGCAAGAGAGAGCGGGCGATTGAAGTAGTCTGCTTAATTGATTTTCGCTTAATTACTGCAGCGGTTGCATAAATTAAATGTTTACATTTACCCCGGCCAGTGCTGTAAAGCATAGTCTTCATTCGTTAGGTGGCAACCCTGCCCGCCTATCGACAGCCGCTGCAATTAATTAATGAGGCTAATTTAAGACCAGCATATATTTGCCGGTTAAAACAATAAAAATCCTCCCTCTCGTTTCATTATCACCCCCACTCTCTCACGGGTGCCCAGTTTAAGACGTTGACCAACACTGACCAGCATTAAGAAAGTGTTAATTTGCCTAAAATGTACAAGTACATGTGTGCCATGTTGCGTATGTGTGTGTGTGTGCGGGAGTTTTCCTCTGTCAAAATGCAACTTAATTTGTAAGAAAAATTCAGTGAACAAATCAAAATCGTATGTAATAAGTGCGTGTGTTAAGTGGAGCTTTTACTTTGCATTTCTGTGGATTTTTTTTTTCTTTACGGTTATTTCCCCTTTTTTTTTTTGCATAATCGAAGCCGCCTTTCGGTACATGTGCATGTGTGCTATCCCGCTCCCACTCCCACCCCCATACTACGGCCACCTGTACGCCCTTGCACACACACACACACACTAGGGCAAACTAGAGTAACTGTCAGTGTATTGGTGCGAGATATAATATCACTTGGAAGTAATTTATTTAGTCTCGTGAGCTGTTTTTTTTTTTCGTTTTTCGTATGTGAAAAACCTTTTTGTTGTGGCCCATTTTTGTTTTTGTTTTTTTGCCATAGTGTGTGTGTGCGATTTTTTTTGCGCTCTAAAAAACAATTTTCGCCTGGCGCCTTTAAAAACGCTTCAGCTGCAATTGGCTGCAAAAAGGAGAGAGGGAGAGAGAAATATAGAGAGTGAAAGAGGGAGACATTTCTATTTGTAGAAAAGAGCGCATAATTTGCAATGTTTGCCATTTACGCTTTCCATTCGAACGAAATGCGAACTGCATGCGAACGCCTTTTTGGACAACAACTACTATTTATTGTTATTTTACCTCTCCTTTCTTTATTTATCTCCACCAGTTTAACCTATATGTATATCGGTATTAGACTGTTTTCCATTGGATTAACGTATCCAATTTTTATTGATCTTTCCGGAGTTTTACCATGTATAAATTATAATAAGTGTTTGGAATATCCTTAAAACATCAAAGACCTCTGTTGGACAAATAAATAAAAAATGTCCTATACATATTTTTAATAATGCATACCGAATTCATTTGTAAAATTTGCTAAATTGATCTTGACCGGTTTGACTAATAACCGGTGAAAAATGTATTTTAGGGACTTTATGACTTTGCTTAGTTTTTTATTAAGTACCTAAACTTCCCAAACCTTTTTCTTATTTAAGGATTGATAAATAATATTTAATCACATAATTTTGTTGATTTTGTGATCATTTTTTTTCATTTCTGAATCTGGAGCGTTTAATGTCATACATTAGTTAAGGGATTTAAAACGAGTACAAATCAAAATCAATGATCGAAATTAAAATGAGTAAATAAGACTGAATTATTACTGATTCAAAAACAGACTATATAAAATGACAGGAAAATAAAATGTATTACAGTAGGCTGAGTAAACCTAATTTCATTTGATTTCATATTGTCTACGAACTTTATATTGCAGCTTTTGAATGCTGAGAAAACTGAAGGGGCTAATTCACTTTCCCGGTGGAACGCACAGCCGCACAGACCACAGTAGATCTTTATTGAGACCGCATATTTTATACACAAGGACGCAGAGGACAGGGAGAAGAAGGAAGGACGAAGCGAAGGAGAAAGGCGCCCCCCTCGTTTCCCGCCCAGCCAACAGCCGTGTGAAACCGTCTTGAATGGATCCATTTGTTGGCTGGTTTCAGAAGGAACAGGAGGGACCATCGCTGCGCACATGGTTAAAGATTTGGGAGACGAATGCCCAGGAGATGGGCGCTTTGCTTGATCAGCAGCTACAGCAGGCGACGACGACCAACGGCAGCATCAGCGGCAACAACAATAGCAGCGGTAACAACAACAGCAGCAACTCCACTAACAACATAGGTAACAATTCAACGGGCAAATCCTACTTATCGCGACCCAACAGCTCTCTAAGTCGTGTGCTAAACTTCCGAGCGGATTCTCTGGAGATTCTGCAGCAACAACTTAACGGCGTATCGCAGCGCCACAACAGTTCAACCACCAGCGGCACCGGCACCAACACCAGCGGCAATAGTAGCAATACCAGCTCCTCGGCTGATTCCACCACAAATCGGGACAATAACTCACCCGTCAACAGTAGCACTTCCACCAACGGACCAGCAGGAGCAGGAGGAACAGCAACTGGAGGAGGTACTGGCACAGTCACCGGCAACAGCAACGGCAACGGCACCGGCACCAATAGCCCGGCGACGACCACAGCGGCAAGCACAGCTGCGACCACGACTGGTCCATCAGCCACCACCAGCACCACGAGTATGAGCGACACCAGCAACAACCCGCCACAGACAACGACCACGCCCGCCAGCCGCACGAACAGCATCTACTACAATCCGTCGCGCAAGAAACGGCCAGAGAACAAGGTCGGCGGTGCCCATTACTATATGAACAACCACATGGAGATGATCGCCAAGTACAAGGGCGAGCCCTGGCGCAAGGCCGACTATCCGTACGGCGAGGGCGTCATTGGGCTGCACGAGGAGATCGAGCACTTCTACCAGTACGTCCTGCCCACACCCTGCGAACACGCCATCCGCAACGAGGTGGTCAAGCGCATCGAGGCCGTTGTCCATTCCATCTGGCCACAGGCGGTGGTCGAGATCTTTGGCTCCTTTCGCACCGGCCTCTTTCTGCCCACCTCTGATATTGATCTCGTTGTGCTAGGTGAGTTGGCAATGGCATGGAATTCTGCAGTTTAAAAGCTGGCTTTAGCCCCAATATCATATATATGTTTATGTAACTCATCATATTTTTTTTTTGGTATCCCTTAGGTTTGTGGGAGAAACTGCCGCTGCGCACGCTGGAATTCGAGCTGGTGAGCCGCGGGATTGCCGAGGCTTGCACGGTGCGCGTTCTGGACAAGGCATCCGTGCCCATTATCAAGCTGACGGACCGGGAAACGCAGGTGAAGGTAGACATATCGTTCAACATGCAGAGCGGCGTGCAGTCGGCGGAGCTTATTAAGAAGTTTAAGCGCGACTATCCAGTGCTGGGGAAGCTGGTGCTGGTGCTCAAGCAGTTCCTTCTGCTCCGCGATCTCAACGAGGTGTTCACGGGCGGCATCTCCTCCTACTCGCTGATCCTCATGTGCATCAGCTTCCTGCAGATGCATCCGCGTGGCATTTACCATGACACAGCCAATCTGGGGGTGCTGCTGCTCGAGTTCTTCGAGCTATACGGACGCAGGTTCAACTACATGAAAATCGGCATCTCCATAAAGAACGGTGGCCGCTATATGCCCAAGGATGAACTGCAACGCGACATGGTCGACGGACATCGGCCCTCGTTCCTGTGCATCGAGGACCCGCTGACGCCGGGCAATGATATCGGCCGGAGCAGCTACGGCGTCTTCCAGGTGCAGCAGGCCTTCAAGTGCGCTTACCGCGTCCTCGCCCTCGCCGTCAGTCCGCTCAACCTCCTCGGGATCGATCCGCGCGTCAACTCCATACTGGGTAAGTGATTGCAAAACATTGTGGCCTACAAAAAACAGGGCAACTATTCTGATTCCAAGAAAGGGGAACAAGATATTATGTACATTGTATTTTGGTGACTTTAAAATCTATTATACTTTTAAAAATGTCACCATTTGAGCTATGATGGATTTAACATAAATTAAATATTATTCTTTTATAGTCTTTCTTATCAGAATTCAGTATTTACATTATACAAACAGGGAAAACTTAAAGTCATATCACATTACTAGCTAGGCATTTGAAATTTGTAAACATTGTTTGTATGTGTTGCTATTGATTTTCGTTCTTTATTGTATCTATACAATGAACAGCACTGACTTTTTATTTATTCCATTTCTGTTTTAAGGGCTAGTATATTTAAAGAAACTCAAGTAATAAGGCGACTGCAAAAAAGTTGAAACAAGTTCTAACTAAACTAAATTAATAAAACAAAAATTTTTGAATTATGTAAACTAGAATCAAAGATTATTTTAGTTTCCGGGACTGATGAACCCATTACTGGCAAGGAAATTTTTACTGCTGACACATTAAACAGCATCTCGATGATAACAAAACAGTTTTCACATATATATATATATATATATAGGGTCGTATATAGACGAGTTCGTGTTGTAATGCTTTTCTTTGTTCCTCCACCACAGGTCGGATCATTCACATCACCGACGACGTCATCGACTATCGCGAATGGATCCGCGAGAACTTCGAGCACCTGGTGGTGGTGGACCGCATCTCGCCGCTGCCCACTGCCGCTCCCGCTGCGTACGCCACCTCCAATGGGGCGCCCAAATATGTGATCATGCCCTCGGGCGCCGTTGTCCAGCAGCTGTACCACCATCCGGCGGTGCAGGTGCCCACAGCTCACGGGCACAGCCATGCGCACAGCCATAGCCTCGGGCACGCGCATCCCGGCGGTGGCCATTTGGGCCAGCCGTATGTGACCGGGTCCTCCACATCCGCCGGAGCAACGACGACGACGGTGGCGGTGGTGGGGGGCGTGGGCGTGACGGCCGTCGGAGCCCAACAGCAGCAGCAGCAGCAGCATCAGCAGCAACAGCAGCAGCAACAGAACGCACTGACCCATTCCTCCTCCCACGCACAGCAGCAGTCGCAGAACCAATCGCAGTCACGTCACAGACGTGGCAGCACCTCGTCGGGAGATGACTCCGAGGATAGCAAAGACTGCGATGTGGTCGAGACGACGTCGGGTGCTCCGGAGGTCATCGACATCACGCTGTCGCCGCCGAATGGCCTGAGCTCCTCCTCCTCCATATCTATGCCGCTGCCAGTGCTCGCCGTCGGCATGCCATCGACGAGCAGTTGGAGCGGCCATGGCAATGGCAATGGCAATGGCAACGGGAGCGGAAACGGAAGCGGAAACAGCAGCTCATCCACGGGCTCGTCGGTAATGCACACAATCCCCCGCCTTGAAACATGATGATTGGTGGTGGCCGGCTGCCTAATGCCCAGGCATCAGGTGGTCGGCTATGCTCCCATGCTGGCCGCAGTTGCATCTCCCCGGTTGTATCTGAAACCAAAAGCGCAACAAACAAAATTTCACCCAAAGACCTTGGGAGCAACTGCCGCCAGCATGACAAGAAGCAACAGCAGCAGCAAGCACACATGTATAACCTCTTCACCACCAACACAGCCGGAAAACGCCCACACCGCTGCCCAGGACATGGAACCAGAGCTGGAGGAGGTGCAGCAGCATCAGCATCAGCATCAACAGCAGCAGCAGCAGCAGCAGCAAAGTCAACAGGTCCAGGAAACATCTGGAGGTGGCGGCTCTGCAACCGGATCCGGATCAGGTTCTGGCAGGGGAGACGGCAGTGGTGGACGCACCTACAACCAGCGGGGCAGCCACAATTCTAGCGGCTACTACCACCAGCAGTACTACGTGCCACCGCCGATGCAGCAGCAGCTGAGCAAGTCCAACTCGAACTCCTCCTCCTCCAACTATCACCAGCAGCAACATCACAGTCACAGTCACAGCCACAGCCATAGCAACCACAGTCACCGGCAGCAGCACCACCACCACCAGCAGCAGCAGCAGCAGCAGCCGCAACACAGCCACCAGCAGCGACCGCAGCATCTGCGTTTGGGCGGCGGCGGCGGCAATCGCTACCAGAAGTCCGTGGGCGGATCGCCCACCATCAGTACCGGCAATGCATCGAACAGCAGCAGCAACAGCAGCAACAGTAGCAGCAGCAGCCACAGCCACAGCAACAACAACAACAACCGCCTGCCGCCACTGCGGGGCACGCTGGTGAACTCATCGTCGGCTATATCAATCATTTCCATATCCTCAGAGTCATCCATTGCCAGCAGCAGTTCCAGCTCGTCAAGATCCGGACAGGACCAGCAGCAGAACGAGCGGGATGAGCGATAGGATTAGGGTATATATGATATATGATATATGAGAGATATGATATAGCATATATAGGATATGAGATTGTGAATGAGAGAGAGAAAGAGATAGTTACGAGTTAGCAATATTTATGGATTATATTTCTTTCTCAGGTTAACTGCAAACTATGCTGCATTTTTCTAATTAATACACCCTATCCTTCCTTTCACCCTCCTCTCCTCCACAATCCCTCAAACGTAATGGTTAGATTTTATTTTATATTGCTGTCTCGCTTAAGCTGCAGAGCGAAGTAAACCTACTAAGCTTAATTTTAGGAACTTTGCCTCTGATTTCGCTAAATGTTTTTCATTTTGTTTCTAAAATAAACATGAAAGCAACAAAAAAAAAATTATATATATATATATATATATATATATATAGATATATATTAGATAAAAACGGTATAAATATAAATGTAAACTCATAATTAGATTTTAATGGTTTAAAAGAGCGATAAACTGAAGTATGAAATTAGCTGCTAACATATTTAAGGTCCGCGAACACATGTTTCCAAATCTCTCTAGAACTCCATATTCCCCATCCCCCCCTTTTACCTTTTACCCATGATCACACGCATTACAACTTGTAAAGTACTTTGTAATTTCTAAAATGCTCTACATTTTAAGCAAGTGATTTGTAAACTAAATATTACCCCATCCTCCCTCCATACATCCCCAAAAAAAATGAACAAAACAACGGAAATCCTGCGCGCATTTCTAACGCTAATATTACTAAGTGAATTTGCGCGCAAACTGTAAAAAAAAGTAACATAACCAAATGCTAAAAATCCCATCTCCCTAGAAACCCAAAAACGAAACTTAAATGCGCCATCTCCCACGTAACTTCTGATAACTTTTTATTATTTTGAGTTAGTTTTATACCTGAAATGTAAATGTTTTTATTAGTACCACTATTATACTTACGATGATTATTATTATTAGTTTTTATAACTATGCTTAGAGATTCGTGAGCCAACTAAAATTGTACGAACACTTTGCCCAGACCCAAAGCAATTGTGTTTTAAAACAAAAGCAAACAAAAAAAAAAAAACAAAACAAAGAAACACCACAAAAACGACAAAAAAAAAAAACAAACCTACAACAAGAAATCCATCTTTTTTTTTTAATCTAATTTACTATTATTTGTTTATTATGATTATGCAATGTGCATTTTGCATAGATTCCTGCCATTTGTTTGTATAGTTCAGAATTCACAGAGCTCTGTAAATACTTAGTTACCGCCCCCTCTGACACCCGCCCCGCCCCGCCCACCACGCCCCCCTCTAAACGCACTGCCATTTTGAGAAAGGTTTTTAAAAAACAAGTCGAAAAGGAGCTAGCAGATGAGTAGAAAAGAACATTTAGACTTTGTACATGTATAACATTTTAGGCTGTTCTTCTTTCCATTTGTAAGAGAAAACAAAGAAAGCAAAAAAAAAAAAAAAAAAAAAAAAAAACGAACAAGAAACAAAAAACTTGTAAAGCCACTCAAATAGACAATGAATATGTCTGTCGATCGTTTTATATGCGAGTCTTGAATAGAGCTCAATTTCAGATATTTAACACTAGGCAGGAAATTATAAAAGTTTTCTTTTGAGAGTCCAACTTCTTTTTCTATTGCATATGAGATCGTAAATGTCGAAAAAAAACGGCTCTAAAATGTTGTACGTCAAAATAAGGTTGCAATATTAAAATATTGAATATTTATTGGTTGTGATAGCATTCTTTTTTTTTCATCAATTTAATTTGTACATTTTAAATTTGTTCCGCTTTTCTCTTTTGATCCTGGTTTAAGAAAGTTGTAATAGGAAGCGTGTGAAGTGTTAATTGCGCTCAGTCCGAGTGAACTTTAAGAGGTTTAAAACCTAAATAAAGTTAAATTTTTTTTATTGATAAGAGTAAAAACCTTAACAAATAAGAACAATTGAAAAGAAGCTTTCCAGAAACTCAATAATTTCAGTTTCCCATTTACTTCCTGAAGAAAGCTGTTTTATCAGACATTTAAGGACTCTCACTGTTTTTGAAAAATAAGTTGGAACTTTATAGATTTTTAAATATTTTGTTTTTCTGTTGCCTAGTGTCAAATAAGCGATGTCCAGTGTTGGCAAAAGCCAAAGTGCTCTCTCCCTTTCGCACGATGACTCCTACAAGCTTGCAGCTGAGCTTTGAAGCCCACCTTACACACACTTTCTCGCTCACTCACATCACAATCACACCCACATACACCACACTGGCGCATTAGCACCCACACAGCCACACAAACAGAGAGGGACACTTAACGGTAATGTTAGCATAGAAAGTTGAAGAAAGCTAGGAGCTGTAAGTGAGAATGAGATAGCGATACCGATACCGAGAGTAACGTACATATAAGAATTATTAAATTTATGCACTCGTCTGTTGAATATTTATATGAATTATATGTATGTAGTTACTAATATTAACTAATTGATAAATATACAATATTTATATGCATAACTTGTGGATTAATGTGGACAAACAAATGTTTAGAATTAGCGATCTAGCCATGTAAGACTCGAAAATCGTAAATCGTAAATCGACAACTACTTAGACTACATAACTGTGTACCAGAGCATATGTAAGCACTCCCACACACACAAGATACACCACTAAAAAAATACAGACACCCGCGCATAATCGCTATGAATGTTGAGGTTATGTCGTAGATTTTTCAATATCCGATCACTGTTCGCCTAGCATAGAAAGTAAGCCGATGAACTAACTGTAAAACTAACTCATTTCTTTACTAGATTCCATGCGTCTTATCCTTCGTTATCGTTTGCGTTATCGTTTCGATTTTTTATACTCCCAAAATATTCTCCTATCCTTCCATAATACGCATATGTCCTGTGTGCCGTTGTTGTTATATATATGCATTATACTCGAAAACATTTTTTTGTCGTCGCGATATTAGTGGGTATTAATAAATTAAATTAAATTTAATTAACTACATTTAACGCAACTAAATTCAATTCAAGTGAATCAAATGAAACGATCGATACATGTATATGATAGAGTTCAATAGCTGTGTAAGAATCGGAATCGTAACAATTTAGTACGCAAAAATCGTAAATCTAACTGATTGTATAATTAGCGAAAAGAGAAAACGGAAGCGATAAGCAAAACGATGCGACAAATAAAAGCCGGCAAAAACTAAAATTTGGTGCTACTTTGATTTTGAATGAGCATGAGGTTTGTTAAAAAATATATTTTTTTACCCGAAAAAATGTAAAAATCTTTAATTTCTTTAATTTTTACTCATTTTTATTTAGTATACCGCCCTTCAAATTGAAAACTACCACTTAATGTAGGTGAACTTGAATGTTTTGGGCTCCGTCGCCTCGCAGACGTACAGCATCTGGATCTTGCAGTTGGCATCGTTGATCATTTCCCGGGTGGCGAACATGTGGACACAGTTCTCGTTCCCACCGTAGTTGTCCGGCATTTGCTTGGGGCCATTCCAGGGGGCATAGGTCATCGGCCGGCCATTAGACATCCAGTAGAAGGCGCCCTCGGTGCCCAGGTCGTTGCCCGAGATCCAGAAGTAGTCGTTGTTCTTGAACCCCTTGACCTTCATGTACTTGATCAGCGCCTCCATTTCCGGCTTGTCCTCGATGGAGGCCAAGTGGGCGTTCATCATCCGGCAGGCGCCGGCCGCCTGGAACCAGTTAACCTTGTTCATCGGCTCAATGTAGTAGTAGTTGTCCCCGATTCGCACGAACGGCGTAGTATCGATCTCAGAGGGAATGCCTGAAATTTATTGCAAGGCATTTTATTAAGGATATACAATAGCAATAACAGACATAGTTTAAAAATTTTATAAATACAAATTTTATTTTGATTGAAAACAACTTTTTTTCGATGCCAAAAAGCTTTGATTGTCAATATTATTGACTTCGAATTTTATTTTTTTAAACGTGTTATGTTTTAAATTGGAAATACTATATAAAAAAAAGTAGTTCTCAATCGTTTTAAAAATTATGAGTGACAAGAAAACTAATTTTTTTTTGGCACCCATAAACTATATTGGCAAATATTATTTTGTAGCGATCTTTTCCCGCTATTCCGTTTTGGTTAAAATATATAAATTGTCGAATAAAAAAGTATATCGTATTTTAAAATGATATAATTGGCACTAAATTCAAGGCAAGTTTCAATGAAATGCAAAATAAGTCTAGAGACTTACCATTGTAGACCTCCGTGCGGTAGTTGGTGAATATGTTTACATCGGGCAAATAGGCAATGGAACTACTCCAGGCGCTTGCGAGGATCAACAGGAGCGTTGTTGGGCGGTACATCTTCGGCGGTCAGTGTCCAGTGCTCAACTATCCGGCGTCCGTAGTTCTAGACTCTTATATCGACGCCAAATCACAAGTGTCTCCATTCCGGACAACTGTTTACCCGATGCAAAGCAACTGAATCAGCCGCATATTTCCACAGTAGAAACCCGATCCACAACCGCTGCAAAGGAACACCCACAAATGCCAAGTTTACGCAGACTTTTTGACGGTATAAATATTTATCTATTTATGAAGAAAATGATGATTGCTGAGTTGCCATAGAATACTAACATTTTCATTACTGATCTGACAAAAAGATTTAATTTTAATTTTTTTTAAATTGCTTAAGGCACAATGGCATTGAGTGGCAAAGTCATATACATAAAAAAATCTTATTTTATAAATTATTTGTGCATTGTTAAAATATTTATTTTTCCTTTTTTTTAACAATTTTTTCCGACAACTAAATTTTCCAGCTCTTTCGGAATGTTAGAATATTTTTTTCCTTTAGTTTTTAGGTTTAATATTTTTCTAGAAACCTATAACCTACATTTTAAAGGCAATACTTGTCCTTCCAAGTATTTTTTTTTTAAAGAAAAAAATCCAAAATAAATAGAATTATTGAAGTAGAAACTTCTAAATGTCTTCCTGTATCCTCTTTTAGTTATACTTGTAGTTATCGAGCTCAGGTCTCAGGTATCCGCCCTTAGATCGAAATCGAGCCTGGACATTGCATTGGGTGTCGTGGAGATGGGAGTGTGCTGCGTTGGCTGAAATCCCTGCGGCCACACGATGCCCTCGATCCAGTCGATGAAGCTGGACACCCTGGTGTACACCGAGGGCGGTCCACTGGCGCATCCCTGTCCCAGCGACGTGATGCCCACAATGTAGCCCAGCGGTCCGTCCTGCATGAGCAGGGGTCCGCCGGAGTCGCCCTGGCATGTGTCCCGTTCGCCGGTAATGTCGCCGGCACACATCTGGGTGCCGAGTACGCCCTGGGCCAGCTGGTCCACCTGGTAGTGCACCTGGCACTCCTCGTTGCTGACGCTCTTCAGCGGCACCTTGAGCAGCTGGGCGGAGGAGAGGCCGGCGAAGCTGGTCTGTCCGTACCCGATGGCCGTGACCAGCGAGTTGGCCACCTCCTTTTCGCCCCAAATGCAGGTGGGCTTAAAGGCCGGCTTGGCCGGTGTCTCCAGCTCCAGCAGGGCAATGTCGTTGTAGGCAGTGCTGGCACTGTACTCCGGGTGCACGATCACCCGCCGGATGGACAAATCCTCGCCCTCGGAAAGGGTCAGATTGTCGCCACCAAGTCGAACCTGACTGGGCGGCTCACTGCAAGAAATAAGGGTTAAATTCAATTGATTATTAATGTATTTTTTCAATTAAACAAAAAGAGCTTAGAGTTGGCATGCAAAGTTATACATATGTTATCCTCCATGATTTTGATCTTTATAATATTTATTGATTAGAAAAAAAAGGGCTGTAAAATGGCAATGATTTTAATAAATTAGGCTTTTCGAAGCATAGTTTCCCACTACAGGTTTATTTATATTTATATTATTTTAAATTTAAGAAAACCAATTTTTCTTTTTGTTTATATCTTTAAGAATTTTGTTGTTTCAATCGTTTTATTACGATTTATGACAAACGTTTCGATTGTACAAAATCGCAAAGCCATTCTTGTCATATATCAATAATAGTTTAAACACATCATATTAGTTAAAAATATAATCAGCTTATGTTTCTGAAATTCTAAAGGGGTTTTAGACATGAACCTGACCTCGGCATAAATCTGATCGCTTTGTGATGATAAACCAAGTATATTTATAGATTGAAGAAGGTAGAAAGGTATCTTACCCGCCCAAGTCGGCGCAATGGGCCGCCGTCAAAACAAAGTTGTTGGAGATGAGGGCGCCGCCGCAGCGATAGTATATCCGCTGATCGAAATTTGAGCGCCAGCCGAGGGCCGCCATGAAGGGGAATTCCCGGTACCGGGTGGGTTTCCCGCCCACAACCGAGACCACGAAGGTCAGATCGCGCTCGTTGACCTGCTGGACGTTGTTGTTCTCGTAGCAGGCTGTAAATTAGAAAGGTTTTGTCATGGATTACATCACGTGGTTCCCGCAAAAACATCATGATTAATTAGGTAATTTTTTTTAAATTGATTTTTACTTGGAGCCGTTTTGATTGTGAGCTGTAAGTGTTAGCAAATTTACTTTCGCATTTAGTCAGGATGACTTGCTCAAAATAATGTTTGTGAAGCTGGTGAATTTAATATATAATCAAAAGATTTCCCCTAAGGGGTTTTTGAAAAACTTCCTCAATTTTTATATACAACAAAAAATGTGGTAATGGTAAAATGTATTAACACAATTTATAAACAAATTTTAATTTTAAAATTTATAAAGAAAAAACCAAGAAATACTATCTAAAATTTATGATTGTAATACAACCAAAAAACCTCTTTCATATTATTTGTTTGCATGCTTGTTTGATTTTAGAATACCTAAATATTGTTAAGTTCGGAATTAATATTTTTCATCAAAGAAATCTATATGAAAAAATATCATTATCATTACACCTCTGATTGACTTAAGTGGTTTTGTATGTTTATGGATTCGGATTGCTCACCCTGCAAACTGGATCGCGTGACCAGGGGAGCGATAAAGGGATTCCGGGTGGTGGGCAGCGTTGGCAGCGTTGGCAGCGTGGGCGGCACTCCGGTGGTGATCTCCGGCAGCTCTTTGTCCGGCTCGCAGCAGACGAAGTGATCGAACCGCACAAAGTAGCAGGTCTTGGGCGACTCCCGTCGCTCCAGCCAGCCTTTGAGGGCACTGGGACACTCCTCCATGCGCCGGCAGGTGCCCTTCGTCCTCAGCACGTCGTCCAGGAGGCAGTCATCGAAGGTCTCCTTGGGGAAGATGATGCCGCGCTGCGACTGTGGACTTATAGCGGGCGTGGCTTCAACTGTGGTGCAAAAAAAAAACCATTAGGTGAGAAATGTGCGTGTGAATCACTACGATCTGCGATCTAGACAATCCCCTTAAAAGATTTTCTTCAGAATTGGGTAAAACCATGATACATCTTTCTTGATGGGTTTTTTTTTTGATGACCGCTTTCTAAAGCAACAAATTTGAAACATTTCACTTGATTGTGTGTTTTGTTACAACACAATTGCTTAAAATTGTTCTTCTTTAAAAAGAGTTTGAAAATCTTACAAAAATCATACTCAATTTTCTAAGAATTAGTTCTTTTGTTAATGAGCTTGCTACAAAATTATCACAAATCCAACAAATTAAACTTAAAGATTCTATCAATTGGGCACAAATAAATGCGTACCAAAAAATGACATTTTTGAATTTTTTTTTATTATAAACAAATTTTATTTTAAACTTAAACAAATTATAAATATTGAACGGAGCATTTTTTAATGGGATTAAACATAAAGTTTAAGTTCAATAATGCTATTAACTTCGTGTTCTTAATTGTTGTATTAAAAAACACAATCAAATTTAACCGAAACTCATCGAGTTTTGAACTTTCTATGTTTTCTACTTGATGATTTTCCTGATTTTCAGGTAGATCTAGGTTTATTTGGCATCCTCTCTCACCTGCCAGCAGTGGAAGCAGCACCAGGAGATGCAGATACACACAGGTGGGTGTGGAACCGGGACTCTGAATCTCACTCCGACTACTCATCCTCATCCTCCGTTCTTGATCAGCGCCAGATGCGGACTGCAGTGGGGTCAGCACGACGATCCCAGATCGCAGATCGCTGAGCAGAAACCAGCCGGGCAACTTCCAAGTGTCAATTAGCCAACAGCCAACAGACACACTGAAAAAATCTATTCGAACACATATGTGTCAATCAATTAGTTGCCTTTCAAAATCATTTAATTGTGTTTACGAAAATATTCAAAAAGCAATTAACTAAATTTGTGTATGGTTAAGGAAGTAATAAATATTCAAAGTTTAAGATTTTTATCATTTTTAAACCATCGATGTCAATATATATATCTTTAAATCAATAAAAAACTGTTTATGGTAGGTAAAAAAAAAATGATTTTTTAGTTAACAAAATAACTATTGAAAACCGAAAATAAAACATCGATGTCTTTACTTATAATACAAGTTCAGGAACAATAATTTGTATTTTTTGGTAAGCCAAAAACATTACATTTTTTTATCAGTGTGAGATTATCAGTTCGAAATCGTATTTGTTTCTGTACGGGCACGCGCTCTTTCTCTGTGCCCCTCCAAAAATTAATAATAATAAAAACAAACGCTTGCTTTTGTTCAATTTCCGAAGCAGTATTATCTGTCCAGATGAGATGAAACGGTCTTGGCACTTCCACTTGTGACACACCAAATCATTTGGGCTTTTCTGATAGTAGCCAAAAATGAAATAAAAACAATAAATGCATAAACAACCGGTTTCTTGTTTAATTTAATTGACTTATTCACTTTGTGTTGGCTCATTGAACTCGGATTATTTGCATTGTTTATTTTGTTATTGCTGATTTAAGCAGCTTGAATGAAATCTGACATTTTTTATTATTAATTAGCGTTTGTTTTTATTGGGTTTATTTTTAAACTTATTAATTGTTTACACGCAGTGAGGCTGCTGAAAGGCGCCAAGATAAAACTAACTTGAAATAATTGGGGGGCAAATAAGATATGGTCACACATGGAATCTGGCTATCCAGCCCTCGTTAAAAGTTTATTGCAATGCGTTGGCAGTCCCAAAGCTTGTATCCAATTTTAATTGTAATTTTATCAATTATTAAGGAAGTTTTGTTTATGAATAAATAAATAATAATAATAAATAATACAATTAAAATGCCAGTCGAACTCTACTCTACTGTCTACTCATTAAATTTGTTCATACGGAATTTGAATTATTTTAAATAACATTAAATAAACATTTACTGAGTAAGCAAATTTCCTAAATTTATAATTATTTGATGTTTGCCAATTGACTTTTTTTAAAACTGATAAATAATATCGATATTTCCCGCTGGGCTAGTGTGACCATTTTATGACCCTGTAAGCTTTCTGCCATTTCCGTACCGCTGCGCAGGCGGTCACACTGCGCGTGGCTTTTGGAATTTTTGGCCGCGCAACCGAAAGCCAAGTCTGGTCAGTCGAAAAGCAAAGTTTGAACGAAACGGATGCAAAGA